TGTTGCTGTCGTCGTCGTCGATGTTGTTGTGCCTGTGTTGTGCAAGTGTGCGTGTGCGTGTGTGCGCGTGTGTGTGTGTGTGACCTGCTTGTGTGTGTGTGTGTGGGAGTGCCACTGTGCTTGTGTTTCGTGCCGTCGCGTGTTGCTTTTGGTGTGTTCTGCAGGCGTTTCTGGAATGTTCACACCCACATACTCTTGCCAATACTACGTCATCGCAAAATTACAAGGAACGCCCTTATAGATCCCAGTGCGCATAAGGCCCAAAACAGTGGTTTGTTCCACCAATTATTCAGATTTGACAAGCTCGCAAAGCAGATCCCCCCACTAGTCCCCTCTAATCACACACACACACAAAAACCGATCAATTGGCCCTCTCCATGGAGATAAGAAAGCAAATGCTCGTAGATGGCCTTTAGTCAGGCATAATCAGGCAGGTGGGGCTACCTCAGAAATTCAGATTTCCGGGAGCCTTGTCGACCTTGACAGCCGGGGGGGGGGACTAATCATGGGGATGATCCTCTCGTTGTATCCCAGGGTTAGGATCAATGTCTGGTATTAAAGTGCGGCCGTATTGATTTATTTGTGGTTGGGACCGTCCCTTGCTACCTTACATCTACCCTGGCTTTGATTGAGCCATTGCAACCTGTGACTATATACAGTGACTAGGTCCTCCAGTAGAGAGGTTAGAATAAGGGTACCCCTTTTTCTGTAGAGGGGACCCTCCCCCCAAAAAGGGTAAAAGGGCACTACTAGGGGACCTAGGTGACTAATAGTTCCTACTAATCTTGCGGCTCCCCTCGTCATGGCTCCAAATCAATCTGCGTGTCCTCCGGGGCCCCTCCAGTGTGGCTCAACGGTTTGCTTTTCCACGCCAACTTGCATACCCCAAATGGGCATACCCCAAACTTTGCTGCTGCAAGGGTGTTACAGGGTACCCAACAAACCGTCCCTAGCACCAGGTGTGGCATGTCCATTTGAGGCATCCAAAGGTTGATTCCCCATTCTCTTCACCCATCGTTCTCTTTAGAAACACTTTTTTTCGGGAGATTTGCCCATATTTTCATGATTGGAGTTGGGTCCAGCTATAGAATGTAGATTTTATGGTTTGCTTCACTTTGAGTCACTGGTAAATGTAAAATGGATTTCTGAAGAGACTGGTTGAAGCTGCCATGGGGAAGCCAAGTGGCTTTTCACTTTTGGCGTCCCTTCAAACAGAAAGACCTTCCAGGGCGCCCCGCGTGTGCCACGGCCTGCAGCACAGCCTGGACCGACTTCACGGAGATTGCTGCCGCTGTACAAATACGTGTATATATATATATATATCCGCTGTATAAGTACGTGTATATGTACATGTATCTCACTTGCCCAAAGGAGTTGAAATAAAAAGCTAACCTTTTGGTACCTCCACTAAAAATGGACCAACATGGGAAACCAAAAGGTCAAAAGGTCGGCGTTGGGCAACTGAGGTATATATATATATATCTGTATATGTATGTACATGGACATATAAGAAAATATATGTAATGTTGGTATGTGTCTCTATATATATATATATATACTATGTCTTCTTGAGGGGACCCCTTGAAACCACCCAAATAGAGATACCCTCGAACAAAGACAGACCATATGCATATACCATACACCAGCTTTTTTCCTGGTGACATGGAAGCCGGTCTGAGGGGTGAGGCATCAAACTTCTGGAGCAACAACAACTTATTGTTCTGGGTGAATTATAATCTTTCACCAACCTGAAATAAGGTGGTTGGGGGGGCTATTCCCCACATAAACCACCATTTGGGGTGAATTCGGTCAGGTGAGGTCGTTACAATTCACCCAGATTGTTGAAACTCAAGAAACCTGTTAAGAATCAAACAAACATAGGCACCATGTTGAAACATACAGCCTCAGTGCGGCATCGAAGAAACTTCTTGAGCTAGGATTGGTGCGGGGCTTAGGGCGGGTTTGCTCAGAGTTACGGCTGGGTTTGGGGAGAGCGGGCGGGTTTAGGGTGGGCCATCCATCCTTCCATCCTTCCGTCTTCGCAGCTGTTTTGGGCATGGCAATAAGTGTCCTTCTTGATGCCTAATGAGTTTTGTTGATGCTTAACAAGTATGTTTGTGATAGAATAAGTTGAGCTAGGTACTTATCCCGAGCTGTCTCGCAACCCAAACCGCATTCTTGTTTTTTTTACATGCGGTCAGTTTCGGCGCTTCGAAACTAAGCACACGCACATACACCACACACACACCCACATCTCGTCATCGGCATTTCGGGGCAGGTGGGATTTTCTTGGGTCGCGTTAGTTCGCTTCCTTTAGGACTTGATTGACAAGCCTCTCCTCGAGTGCTTGCTTGTTGTCTGAAGAATGACGGCGAGCAGCCAACGCCAAAGAACCTATCTTCAATTCATTGTCCAAGGCATTGGTTTAGTCACACAAGCACGCATTTCTGAGAGCTTCCACTCCGCAACACTGAAGCACAACTTCCCACGAACCAACCATGAACACGCCTACAACACTTCCGTGTCCAAACACACACACACCAGAAAGCTGATGATGTGCTCCACATGTGAAAATCCAAAATAGTTGATGCTGCGCCCATGGCACTGCTTGGTCAAACCCATCCCAATCCCTATAATAACCTCTGCAAGTCTCAGCACAGAATCCGACCTTCATAGCCACCCACAAAATCAATGGACCTGTGTGCTGCAAACCAGCAAACTTCGAGGAAGCCTAGGCCACAAAAAACGTCGGGGTTCTTTGGGTGTGTGAAAAATTGGGGGGTCCTTGAAACCTTTTAAGGTTCCTTCAAACATCAAGCCTAAAAGATCGCACCCTCAAACAAATGTACATCCTTTGGTACGATAATGCACTATGCCGAATGCAGACTTCTGAACAGGACCCCAGTAAGCCAAGCAAGTTGTGCGCGTTTGCCTGGCCAACTGCACAGTATCGAGTTCGCAAAATTCAAGGACCCATCATGCTGGTTGCTACCGAAAAGCCACACACGCGGAATTGTCTCAAAGAAACATGTTTCCAACATTTGGGTGTGGCTCAGAATTAAACCGAAGGGGTTTCGCAGGTTTTGGTCCATGTTTCCACTTACCAGGGTTCCATTTTGGTACCATTTTTTTGAGCCACAGCCATTTGTGGAGGGAAGGGGCCTAAGAGCATGCTAGTCTTCCGAAACCTTTCGTCCACTTCAATCAGAACGTGGCTGAAGCTCGCAACTGGCATGACCATGCCCCACATAAGGCTCGACGGCTGGACTGTTTCTTGGTTTTCGCTTCGCTCAAAAGCAATACCAACCTTGCCTCCCAAAGCTACAAGCATGCCACATTCACGAAAGATCTTCACGCTCGCTTCCCGAGTGAGTTTTCGTCTGTGGGCACATGTGGGGCTTTCTCTGTGAGGTCACCTAGTTTCCCCACCCTCAACACGCATGCAGCAAATCCCGCTGGCATCGTGTGAGATGAGCCTGCTTTTCTGCGAAATAATCCTTTTTGAGCTTCGCAAACGCCTGACAAAACACAAACGTAAGCATGCGCGGCCCCCCTCCAAGGTCCTCAAAGCGAATAGCCCAGCTCAAAGCCCCAGCTCAAAGCCCCACTTCGCCCCCGCAGAAGACAGCAAGCAAATTTGGCTCCCTGCGTATCAGTACTGCATTGCGCGAAATGCAATCTCAGCGACTCATCTCTGAACGAAAAAATTCGAATGAAACTTCCCGGTCACCTCTTTTTGACACCAGAGTGAGCGCTTTCTGACAGATCCGTTCTCGCTCCTTTTTGTGACGCGCAGCTTTCTTTTCGAGGCGAGGCCCCGTTCATGGAATGCTCACGTATGATATGTGACAAAATATACAGTACTCAGCCACCAATAAACATGGAACCTAACGTTAGGGGTGTCCTGGTTTGGACCATTTTCCTTTCAGAGGTACCGGGCCCCGGACGTCAGGTTCCATGTTAATTGGGAGGGTGCTGCTTCTTGATTGCTCTTGTCATTTGGGGGATCATGCCCACGCGGATGCTTTGCGGTCTATGATTTCGCGTCGGGCTAGAGGTGTGCCCCCCGCCTTCGGCGGGGAAGCGAGCCGGGGGCATTCGTTCGCTGGGAGCTGCCTTTCGAAACAAACGCGTTGTGAAAGATGAACTGGGGAACTGCAGATTTGAGTCCTTGTTGCCATGTATATCAGGGCAACCCATTTTGGGGTCACCCTGTTTTGGACCCACACCCCAATCAATTGCAGACACCGACCTCTTTGCGCTTTCATGGACCCCGTAGCTCAAGGCTTCAGATTGAAGCAACCCAGGGCTCAAGGAGCTTTCTGGCCTATAGGTTGTTTACTTCCACGGGGCCAACCCGTAGGGAACGCTCAGAATTTGAGCTGGATGATGGTGCCTGGAGACTATCTCTCAGATTTGATTATTGCTTTGGATCGAGACATCCTTCGAACAGACACCCGGGAATTCCTCCTAAGCCCTTTTGCCCCGTCCAAACGGCTGGCTTCCTTGCTTCCTTTGCAGGCACTTATGGTGCTCAGAGACTGACATGTGTTGATTATGTGCTTGTGGGCATTTGCAATCCTACCTCTTCGTGATGATACCCAAAACGTGTTTGCGGGTTTCCACGGCGGCTCCTCTTGTGCACATTTTTTTCCAGGGCCGGCCGAAACCGGAACGCTCCAGCACATCAGCAGAAAATAACAACCCTGCGCAAAGCAAGAGCTCCAAACACCCCGCAACTTCCCTCACCAGACATAAAAACATGTCAATGTGTCATGAAGTTCAAATCCCCATGCTTAGACGTTGCGGACTTGACCCCGGTAGTAGATGCTGCTAGCACATCCCTCAGAAATCTCCAAGAACATATCAGGATATCCTGCAAAACTCCCACATTCAACTTGCTGTTGGATGGAGACCTAAAGGGAGCATCAACCCAAAAACAATCCAGCGTCTTGGAACCTATGATTGAGCAACCGAAATAGCTATCTGAACTGCCAGCTTTCGCCTCCCATGATCGTTAACGGCCGGTAAAACGTCGGCTCATGATACACGTCAGCGCCGGGTTCGGAGCTGAGGCCTGCATAGAATCGGACGACCGACCATGAGCTACACAATCGGCGGCGTGAGACATGAGCCATGCGTAAACTGTGCATATATATATATATATGTATATATATATATATATGTGTGTGTCTGTGTGTGTGTGTCTGTGTGTGTGTGCAGTGTGTGCGTTTGCAGGTATGCTCTATGTATGTATGTATGTATGTATGTATGTATGTATGTATGTATGTATGTATGTATGTATGTATGTATGTATGTATGTATGTATGTATGTATGTATGTATGTATGTATGTATGTATGTATGTATGTATGTATGTATGTATGTATGTATGTATGTATGTATGTATGTATGTATGTATGTATGTATGTATGTATGTATGTATGTATGTATGTATGTATGTATGTATGTATGTATGTATGTATGTATGTATGTATGTATGTATGTATGTATGTATGTATGTATGTATGTATGTATGTATGTATGTATGTATGTATGTATGTATGTATGTATGTATGTATGTATGTATGTATGTATGTATGTAATGTATGTATGTATGTATGTATGTATGTATGTATGTATGTATGTATGTATGTATGTATGTATGTATGTATGTATGTATGTATGTATGTATGTATGTATGTATGTATGTATGTATGTATGTATGTATGTATGTAATGTAATGTATGTATGTATGTAATGTATGTATGTATGTATGTATGTATGTATGTATGTATGTATGTATGTATGTATGTATGTATGTATGTATGTATGTATGTATGTATGTATGTATGTATGTATGTATGTATGTATGTATGTATGTATGTATGTATGTATGTATGTATGTATGTATGTATGTATGTATGTATGTATGTATGTATGTATGTATGTATGTATGTATGTATGTATGTATGTATGTATGTATGTATGTATGTATGTATGTATGTATGTATGTAATGTATGTATGTATGTATGTATGTATGTATGTATGTATGTATGTATGTATGTATGTATGTATGTATGTATGTATGTATGTATGTATGTATGTATGTATGTATGTATGTATGTATGTATGTATGTATGTATGTATGTATGTATGTATGTATGTATGTATGTATGTATGTATGTATGTATGTATGTATGTATGTATGTATGTATGTATGTATGTATGTATGTATGTATGTATGTATGTGTGTCTGTATGTATGTATGTATGTATGTATGTATGTATGTATGTATGTATGTATGTATGTATGTATGTATGTATGTATGTATGTATGTATGTAGATGTACTTAAATATTCTATGAGGTTTTCTCAAAATACAGAACCTCAAATTTTACTATAAAGGGAAACCAAAAGGAAACCAACCACTAGGGATCCACTATTTTGAGAAACGCTCATTTGGGTCCTTGTTCTAAAGAGAAAGGACCCCCCTAAGTTTGTCCCAAATCCTACGCGAGGTGATGGCCATGCATACTAAGCCCAAGTAGAGGCATGTCTTGGCTGCTCAATGAGAGTTTCACGAAAGATGCACCTGGTTAGTGCCAAAAGAGCCTTCTCAGTCTGGATAGAAACGGGGGGTGCTACGTATCAGGAAGGCTCCGGTCTAAAATTGCAATTTGGTTCAGGGTAGCTCGAGAGCAACTTGCACGATCAAACGATCCATCTAAATATGGGTATGTGTCAAATTGGGAACACCCAAAATCGCGGTTGACCTTTTGATGTCTCTTGAATCTTTGCACAAGAAGGGTCCTTTACAAACCGAGATTCTCAGAATTGGAGCATCCCTCCATGAGTCCTGCAGCAAGCGGTCATTCATGGAAGTGCCACGGTCTATTTTGCTGCACAGAAGCTGTTGCTGCTTTATTTCCTCTCCAGATCACTGCTTCCAAACAAGGCAGGCGCTGTTGCATGGTCCTATTGGCCCCCATTATCAGTAGAAGTAGAACAGATAACATGTCCTTGGCAGGTGTGGGCACAAAAAGCAACCAGTCTTGAGATAGGTGCTTTTCACGATTGGGCGCCACTCTTCACCAATCTGCAATAGCTCAGGCATGTTTCCCCGAAGGTTGCATTGGGCGGTTAAGCTCCAACGCAGTGTTCGGATCCAGCACACATTGCTTGTCTTCTGATTTCTTTCTCGTTCTTCTTTTCAACATCTGTGTGAAAAACACATAAGTTATCAACAACGGACCAGTTGATAACAATCACACAGCGGACCGGTTGCTTCCAGGCTGTTGTCAAACTGCCCTCTGCATCACTGGAGCCACATTCCAAGTTGTCAGCCGGATGCTGACAAAGATTATTTCTCTGTCGAAAACAAGTGTCCTGTATGAATTAGCACTACGGAGCACACAACAAACAACCTCACGGTAGCAAAGGTGCAAATGCAGCTGAATAAACATTTACCGAACAACTGCGTGAACCACGATCAAGCAAAGGGGGGGTGTTCTGTGAGGAGAGATCGCACTGCAGACCAACTAAAACATGTTGCGGAAACAATGCTGGCCTCACTTCTTGAGTGGCTTGTCCAAGAAAAGTCCAAAGATTCGGTTTGAATAAAGTCTATGAACTAAGGGGTGAGTGGCGGCTTAGACTTTGCCACTGGCCATCAAAGCACGTATCGAGCCTCAGGTCGCCGTTTTGCTGGGAAGGCGGCTTGCCTCAGATGGGTGAGCTGAAGGGGCGAATGGCCTTTTAAGGCATTCGCCAGAATGGGGAAGCAGCCAGAAATCAATATAACTCTTGGTTGGAATTAGGACCCCAGCAAAAAACTGTGTTTTTGCCTGGTTGATAGAAAACAAAGGGGACCCCAAAAAAGCAAAACATGAAAAACTGGAGCTAATTCTGGGGGAGAACTATGGGCTTTGCCTTGGCCCAGTGGCTTTTTAGCAAAGCCGAACGACAAAACGACCTGAAGCCGTGCGTGATTTGCAGAACGCCGCCAGAGAGCAGGTGTGTCACTAGATGAACTCAGCTCCGAATCAAAGTGGCACCCAGTCAGACCCAAGCAAAAAAAACACGAATCATTTGGGTATGGGTCAAAATGAAGCCAGGAAACCGCAGGTCTTCGTCCTTGGATCCATTTCCCAGTACCCATTGGGTTCCTTGGCAAGCTCCGCAAGCTCCAAAGAGAACAGTCAGGCTGAGACTCTACAATCATTGCCCATGGGGCATGTGTTTTTCGCCCTATGGCATATGTCCCACCTTGAGGCCCGCAACCTCTATGTGCAGTCCTCAAAACAAAACCCACGACTTGGTGAAGAAATGATCAACCATGCAAGGATTGCTTGTAACCATCTCCTGAGACACGTGAAGAAACTATGGCATTACCCAAAAAAAGGAGACGAGCCTCTTTTAACTTGCTGACCCTCATGGAGATCTCCTTTTTTGTTTGCAGGTGCCAATTTGCCGAGTTGCCACATTTCCTATACAGGTATCATCTGAACAAAGAGACGACCGCCATTTTGTGTGTGACAAAGGGTAAGTTGCAAAATTAGCTCGCATTCATCCTCTTCCGGACAGCGTGCAGATCGTGGGGAAATGATATCAAACCGTGGCAAGAAAGGGACGTTCAAGAGATGTCCTGGGAATGAAATGGCTGCGGGTCAAGAATGGGTACCCAAAATTCAACCTGGCAAATGGAAACATGAAGTAAAAGCTGCGGTTCCCTGGTTGCTGAATTTTGACCCACAGCCAAATCAGTTTCAGAACATACCAAGAATCGCAAGGGGAAGCAAACTCCATATCCTTACTACGAAGTGCCCTCAGCCGTAAAATTGTGCGTTTGCTTTCCGCTCGACCAGCGGGGTTCCTCCCCTGTTAAAGGGCAGCGCTGGACAGTCAGATGGGTGGGTCAGCCTTGGTTGCCCTTTCAAGCCCCAAAACAAGGTTCCAGGTGAATCTAGGATTCGAACACATCGCATCCTGGCAAACTGGTATAATTGTCAATTGGCTGTGGGTCAAAAATAGGTACCCAAAATGGGAACCCTGGTAAATGGAACCAAGGACTAAAACCTGCGGTCCCCTAGGGTGTAATTTTGACCCATGTCCAATTGGAAACAAAAGGAATCACCAAGCAAAGGACCTTCATCATAGATGACTCCGTTTTCTCCCCGAATCCGTGAGCTTTTAATTTGTCCCGGTCGCATGCGGAGCCCCCAAGCCATGCGGCTTGGAAGAACGAACTCCGACAGCATTCCCGAGTTGCTTTTCCCTGAGCAAAAAAAATCGAACCCTTTTCCACGTCCAATTGCGTGCAACTATTTGCTTCCAAATGGTCTAAGGGGCTACAAAAAAACTAGGTCCTCCAGTATATAGAGAGGTTAGAATAAGGGTACCCTTTTTCTGTAGTCTATTTTAGTAGGGGAACCTCCCCCCAAAAAGGGCAAAAGGGCACTACTGGGGGACCTAGAAAAGGTCACAGCGACGAGCCATGATTCCTTCGAGGCACCGTGGTGCTGGGCGCCCGCGAGAGGTTCTTCACCAGAGCTTCTGCCTTGCTCACCTCGCTCCGTGGCACACCCGCCTGGCCCAGGGCATGGATCCGCATGCGAGTGGGTGGTGTGAGCATGCCAAGCCCGCCCCTTCTTCCGTTTTCAGATCCCCTGCTACAAGTAACTAACTTGTAGTGGGTTGAATGGCAACCACCAAACCCTAAAAGTCAAACAGGCCAAGGCTGGATGGAACTGGCCAAAGCCCCTTTTTCTGGGTTGTCCGTTCTCAGATCTGCGAAACGTTTGCTTTCACTTGTAGAGGGTGAGATGGAAATCCAACCACTACACCAACTAAGAGTCCAAGAAGCGAAGGGGATGGCTGAGAACCACTCAAACAACTTGAGGTTTCAACCAGAACCAAAACAACACCTACTGAAAACCAGGGTCATGCTTCGCGGGGTTCGATTTAGCCGCCTCCTTTTCTGATATGTGCCGAAAACTGGCATGATCGAAAAACGAGGTGCCCTGGCAAGAGGTGGGAAAACGACCTCTCACAATCAAACGGCTTCGTGGTACAGACCGGAAGGAACAGCTGACCAGCTTCCACAACTCCGCCTGGAGTCTCCATGACCTTTAAAAATGGCTCCATGACCCCATTATTTTGGCTAATGACCCCATGTTTAAAGGGTCATGGAGACTCCAGGTCCACGTTTTTTCTTCTTCTTTTGTCAACATCTCGAGACACACCCTTGCCGTGCCTGCCTTGACAAGCGGAAACAACTTCGAATATTCGCAAAATAGAATTGCCGCGCATGCGCACAGTTGAGAACCTTGCCGGGGTTTCCAAACAGCGGCAAGCTCTCCAATGAGTCTCCAAAACCCACAAATTCGGCTCCCAAGTTCATAGACTGAACCCGGCCGTCGCTCGCCAAGTCGTTGTCTTCTTCTTCTTCTTTTTTTGTGGGGGGGAGCCATCTGTTTTTTGTGGTTTTCCGGGGAAATCGAATTTGAAAACCCACCGCTTTCGAGGGTTCCTAAAAAAGTATACCCCACACCCATGTGTTGTCAATGCTCACGGCAGGCTCAACTTTTGAAGGGCTCCGTCTGGGCCCTCTTCTCCAACAACTCTGCCAACTTGCTGGCCTCCTTGGCCCGCTGGATGGCTTCCTCCAGGGCATCCACGTCCTGCCGAGCCCCGAATCCCGAGTGACTGGCGACCAAGGCGAGCAACTACCTTTCGCTTCAGAGAAAGGTTGCGGAGGCACTCAGCTCTCAGTTTTGCCAAGGAGGCCATCTTCATCATCCATCCTTGCAAACAGGATCCGGGGATATAAGAACACCCAAGAAGAACGACAGCGTTCCACAGATTGCCATCTCGAACAGAGCCCAGAGCAGCAAAGGATGCAACAGGCCGCTTTTGTTCCCGCGCATGTTCGAAGTATGTTTTTGCGCTGGGCCACGGGTAGGAATGCTGCCCAATGGCAGCGGGAAGCATGGGCTAAGTGAGACCTTCATGAAAGAAGCGGTAACTCAGTTCCTGAGTTGATGGGCCAAAACGAGTCCACACCTTGTTGTTTACCACTAAAATGGTCTTCCCAAAAGGCTTAAGAGAAGGTAAACAAGTGCCGAGCGACTAAAATGACAGACCTTCACTTTGCAGGGCATGCACTGTTGATGCCTGGCTCCATTGTTTGAAGCTGCTCAAGCCTTCCCGGAACCTGAGGGTTCGTTCTGCTTGTGGCCAGGAGGGAAGCATATGTGTCGTATGTCTTAGCCATCATTCATTGAGGGTTGGAAGTCTTTTGGAGGGCCGGCCTTGAAAAGGGGGCACCCTGGATGTGCTCGTTTCAGCGAAGTGTCGTAAGGAAGTCGCCTTAATATGTGTTTTTTCCGCTTAACTCTGAAAGATTTCAGAGACTAAGTCTTAGTCTAATTTTGGTTCAGAATGATCTGGTTGCGTGTTTTTGGACTGGCAGCGGAAAGGGCCAGTGGATGCGAGGTGGATTGGCCCAAACCTTGGTACTGGTCGAGTCAAAATGGCTGGGGGTCAAAAACATGTACGAAAATGGCACCTTGGTAGATGGAACGAAAGAGTAAACCTGCGTAACCCTAGCTCTGAAATTTTGAGCCACACCTAAATGTGTATGTGAATTGGGTCAGTTCATCCGAGTTCAACTAAGCGGCACGTGGTCGGGCCTTTTGCCTCCCGCAACAAACATACGAAACTTAGTGAAGTCCCTGATTTTTGCACGGAATGTTGTGAAACCCCCGTCCCCCTCCCGCATTGACATTGACAACTGTACTGGGTCACGTCGCCACGAGCCGCCTGTGGACGAAAGCAGTGGCTTCGAGCAAAACGTGGGGGATGAACCGAAATGTCTAACCATAACCTGTGATGAAAGTAACTGTACCCATCTAAAATGGGTATCCAAAAAGGACGAGGTAACCATCAGACTTCCGAAAAACGAGCCAGATGGAAACACATCCCATGTCCACTCACCCACCCACTCCCCCAAAAAAACAAAACAAACAGGAAACCCGGAAACCTTTCTTGATATTGGGAGGCTTCCTCTTGATAGGTTCTCCTTACCCATCCAAACATATGTAACACAAAAAGAAGGCTTCCTCTTGATAGGTTTTCCTTACCCATCCAAACATATGACAAAACTCAAGAAGAAAAGACGAGGAGGATGCGCCGCAGCGGCCCCACCCTTCGGTCCTTGCCCTCCATGGCCTTCTGCAGCGCCTGCGCCGCCCGGATCTGCGCCAAGGCCGCCTCCGCCTTCTGCAGCCTGAGGAAAACTTGGCTGGGGCGGAGGCGAGGTCCCCCAGACTTGAGAGGCTAGCATAAGGGTACCGTGTCTGATTTCTGTAGTCTATTTTGGTAGGGATCCCCCAAAAAGAAACGGTAAAAGGGCACTACTGGGGGACCTAGTAAACCATCCGACTGGTGGTTCCTTTCAGGGAATCAGTTTGGCGGTGAGAAAAAACAAAAGGGGACAACTTCAGGGGATGAAGGGGCTGGTTCTCAAAGGTGCATGTGGCATGTAGAACAAGGGAAGCTACAAGACATCGCCTTTCGGTTTCCGAAATCGAGAAACTTCACAAATCTGGTCTATTTGGCAACCAAACACGTGAGCACTCGCATGCCCTTTCACGGATGACCCATGGCGGCGGCGCAGGCCAAATCACCCCTCCAACGGGTGCTGATTGCACGAACAGGGAGACCCCAAAAACATTCGTGAAAAGGCTTCTTGGCTTATTGACTGCGTGGTTTCGCATGGTTTCGCCCCCTGAGAGTAAAACAGATTTCCAGTGATAGATGCCCAACAAAAACACATAACGAAAAAGGGGATGAAAGATGTTCTTCAAAGGTGGGGGTTAAAGGAAGGGAGGAGTAGCTGCTCAAGGTGCTTTTGAGCCGGGGGTTAAAACAAGGCATGAGTAACAATTGGTATACCTGGAGTCTCCGTGACTCTTTAAAAATGGGTCCATGACCCCATTTTTAAAGGGTCATCGAGACTCCAGGTATTGAAGAAGCGCTGTGCTCATTTCGACATGTGCAGGATGGGAAGCCTACCGAGACGTGTGCGAAAGCCCCCATGGTGTTTCTTGCTTCGTCGGCAGTCGACTCCAGATCCATCGCAGCCTACCCCCGGCTGCTTTCTTTCAAGGCCGCGAAAATCGAGCTTGGGGGGGGTGGGTTTGAAGGGAATCCAGGAAAAACAAAGCCCAAATCCCCATTTTCACACCTCCCCCTATTTTGACACCCAGGTTGACCCTCTTTCGCGCACTCTCCAGATTTTGCCAGCTGGGCAAATCAATTTCGGGATCCCCTGCCTTTGAAGAGTTCGGTGCAAAGGGCTCTCAGGGCAAACCCGCATTCGGATCCCCAAGGGGGGAGGAGGCAAACCCCGCCTGCGGTTTCCCGCTTGGTCTTATGAAAAATGTGTGTTCATGCCACCAAATATCTATGTCAAGGGAAGACAGGTCCGCAATCACAGAATTGAACACTCATTTCTATTCAGCTTGCGCTAGCAACTCGCACCCTCTCCAAGCATTCCTACGCTCGCATCACGGGTTCGACCTTGGCGTTCTCCACTGACTTCATATGGGTCTTTCGGAGCACAAACACAAAACCGTCCATTTGGAAACGTTCGGAAGTGCTAAAAAAGGCCCAACTTGGCCAGAAAACGACGAGTGGAGACCGGCGGCAAATAAGCGGGGTAACAAGCGGGCGTTGACAAAAAGTGAGCAAACATCATGGAAATTATGAGCAGCAATCCGCGAGTTGGAGTTTGTCTCAATCATGTGTTTTCTGTCTGAAATGGGAGTTGTTTTGCCCGACCCAAATTGTGACCAAAAATCATTGACTTTGGGTACTGACATGTTTACAATGGCTTCTAATCTATGTACATAGACATGTAGGCTGCAATTTCCCCTTCCAGTCGTAAAACCCCGACCCCCCCCCTCAATGGAGCAGTCTGCGGGGCTTCGGGCACCTAGGGGGGTTTCCACTGTCCAGCCTCACGCGTTCCACGCCACATTGGATCGCCTGAGTGCAGCGATCGTTTGACCAAATCTCACTGGAAATCTTGTGGCCCGCCGCAAACTCACCTTGGCTCAAAATGTGTGACTCGAAATGGTAGAGCGGAGCGCCATGATTCTGAGTGCCTCGGCATGACTTGTACACCATGACATATCTCTGCACCGCAACATTTCCTTGAGGCCGGCCCCAGCAATCCACCACTGGAGTTTTGTTGAACGGGTTCCTAAAAGGTATAGTCAGAAAAGTCACCTGAGGAAGGAAAGGTGACCTGGAATGCTTGGGCCCCTTGTCAAGTAGTTGCTCACGTCAGAATCGCACTGCTGCACATGAGCCCAATCCTTGCACAAAGGATCCCATTGCGCGGAGGGAAAAACGCATCAATACAACAACGGGAAAATTGGCAGAATACCAACCAGCTGAGTCGCACGACTCAAGCCCTGTGGACATATCCCACAGTAGGAGGAGCCCAAAATGGCTTCAGTCGGTTGTCCTTCTCGCTTTCCTTTTAAAGCCACCTGAGAAAAAGGGTACCACCTCAGGAAAAAAAAACAACAAAAAACAAAAACGCACAGAATCTGGGCTTCTTCTGCCATCCTCCGCGCCTCTTCTAGTGCCTCTGCAAGCTGCTCTTCACCTGGACGGGAGGGAAAATTTTGTTTCTTTTTGCCGTGGGCGTCCTTGGTTGGGACCCTAAAACCAGGGATCCCCCCGGTGGATGTGGGGGGCTCTGCAGAAAAGGGTGAACAAAGCTTTGCCCCCCCCTTTTGCGTGAAGAAAAACACGTTTTACGCGTTGACGTTCGCACCTCCGCAGACCGTGGGTGCTTGGTGCTTGTTCAATGCTTGTTCTCGCATCATAGTGAGAACATCACTATCCAGCAGCTGCCAAATCATGATCTTCGCATGCAAGCATTGGTTGCGAATCAGCTCAGACAGAACATGACAGAACCATCTGCACACGAGCTCGTAGCAGGCGAAATTCTGATAGGTTGGAGTCAATTTGGACGCACGAAACAAGTGTCGAAGGGCAAGAGGATTAAACCAGAACTATATGTCCGTGTGAAGCCATGACTTAGAACGTATTTGCAAGACGTCGGCTCAAGTCAAGGTTTACACGTGCTTACTGACATGACCTGACTAACCGAATCAATGCTCATGTCACATGCTTCTTTGGACTGGGTTCTATTTGGTTCCAGACTTGAGCCCATTCATTTAAACGGTTCCTGCAATGTTGCCCCCCCCCCCATTTCCGGCCCGCCGCCCCCCCAAAAATCGAATCGAGTCAAACGCAGGCAGATGGGGAAGACTGGCCTTCCGAAAGGGTCCCTTCGATTTCCCCAGGCGCTTTCCATCGGATCTGTCTTGCGAGGATAGGCCTTTTTGTTGTGAAGGGATCCGGATGCATTCGCCTGAACATTGCAACTTGTAAATGGTGGTGTCCTTTCATTTTGGTACGGAAAAAGCAACATGTGTCAAATGGTGGCAAAAAATGTATCTTTTAAGGAGCCCTGCTTTGTTGAAGGGAAACCAACGCAAATATTTCCCCAATTTGTTGGGCAACATGGGCCCCTTTACCATGTTTCTCATGGTTTTTCATTTGCAGGAACTTGGCCTTCAAAACTCCGCCCCAACAAAACCAACGACTTTCCTGCAGAACCCACTTTTTCGCCATAGCTTCAATCAAGGCACGGCTTCTCCTATCATTTCAAGGTGACTTCCCCGCGTCGACACCCCGATTCCCGCGCACCGACCTGGGGCCCCGGGCTGCGCAGCGTCACGGCGCGGCGGAGCTTGGCCTCGGTCTCGATCTGCGACAAGAGCCGCTGGCCTGGAGCCCCGGCTGGAGGCGGCTCGGCGGTTTTTGCGGTTTGGCGGCGCGGTGCGGTGCGGGTTTCCCGGGCGCTTTCCCTCAAAGCGCAGAACAAGAACAAAACCTTACCCCTTAAAACTCCAAGCCCTGGGGAAGTTAATCTTTTACAGACATATAGCCCATGTTACCCAAAAAGTTGAAAAGTTGTGTTTTTAAGAGGTAAGAAACACTTGGCCCTGGCCGGAGAAGGAAAGCCTCTGTTGGTGATCCGTGTTTTGGGTCTAAGCCACCAAACATTACATGCCCCACGGTAAAAACAAATGCGGTTGTACTGGACATGGGAGAATCCCTCGTGAGTCCTTCGGTTTGTGTGGGATCTCTTTCGTGTGCTTTCAATTCGTCCCCTTCCGAAAATGACCATACACTCTACCAAGGGTTCATGTGCCAAGTTGCTTGGGACACGGTTGGACACTTGTATGCAAATATGGGACCAAAATCGCAAACCAACCATTGCGACAATTTCCCTGACTTTGACACGAAGGAACAGCTCATTGGCTATGGCCGCGAGCCCCATGCCCAAGGCTAGCTTTGTGGGGAGAGGATTCAAACGGTCACATGACCTGGACATCTCCGAGGTTTACACCGGGTGTTGACATGAGATGAAGTCACAAAGGGGTAAGGAAGCAAAGCCTGGATGATGGGTGAGGCAGCAAAGCGAGATGAAGTCACAAAGGGGTAAGGAAGCAAAGCCTGGATGATGGGTGAGGCAGCAAAGCGTAGGTCCATGAGGGAGTACCATGTATGTGTTAAAAAAAAAAAAAAAAAAAAAATCTGACATATGGCGTGTATGTTTGATTTCGGGGATGGGGGCGGGTTGGAGTGCGCAGAGATCTATTGCGCCCTAGAGCATGCCCAACAATAGATCTCGAAACATTGCTTAGAATTGCCACGAATCCCTTCATGCCTCCAAAAGTGTGAACGTGCACCATGCTTGCCTTGGGTCTTGAGCATGAAAACTTGTGAACACTCTTTGTCTGATGTTACTTCCTTTTCGTGATCCCCGGCCTGGTGCTAAAAGACGCTCTAAACAAAGGCTCCGCTTTTGTTAACACCTTTTTGCTCGTACCCGGAATGCCACAGCACACCCCTCACTTGCCCAAAGGAGTTGGAAATAAAAGGTTAACCTTTTGGTACCTCCACTAAAAATGGACCAAAATGGGAAACCAAAAAGGTCAAAAGGTCGGCTTTGGGCAACTGAGACCCCCGAAACCGGTGGAAAACACCCACGCCGTGGCTGAGGTGTTTGTGTTTTTTTGCATAGCCCTGGCATTAGCCTAACCCTGGCACAGCCTGGCGTGCACGAAAGGAGACACTAATGGACAAGGTTTGGGGTGGGTTTAGGGTAGTCCGTTTAGGGTGGGTTCAGGCCTGGCATGGTTATAACTCCTCAGCATCGTTTTCAACCTCAGCACCACCAGGCTTTGGTTTAGGTTGGATTTAGGGTGGGTTCCAGGGTGGCTGTGCTTGAGGTAGATGGGTTAGTGCTAATTTATGGTGGTGCTTCTTCGGGTTGGTCTCGGATGGGTTTAGGGCCGTTTTAGGGTGGGTTTAAAATTGGCTTCGTTCGTGGTTGTGTTTAAGTAAGCTTAGGGTGGTTTAAGGTAGGTGGCACAACCAAATCCTGGTGATGCTGAGGAAGTTGAAAACGATGTTGAGGATGTTGAAACGATGTCGGGCATTAACCCGCCCTAAACGGACGACCCCAAACCTACCCTAAACCTACCCTGAACCCATCCCAAACCTCGTCCTACTGAGGCGCCAACCATTCAACCAACCATTCAGCCAACCATTCAACCAACCAACCAACCAACCAACAGAAAACCACCCTTTCCCCCACGCCGTTGTTTGGAAAAAAAAGGCAAAACACATATTCGGCACGCGATTCGTTGGAGCGAAAGCAGGTCAATAAACAAATCAGCTCAACTTCAAAGGAAGTTGCCGAGATAATCCTCTGCCAATGACTCTTTAGTTGATGGCTGAAAAGAAACTGTCCCAAACATAAGGAGACTCGTGGACTGTGGTAGTGCAATTGTCGTGTGATTTTGAGGTTTGATATCTTGAGAAAGTTGTACGCTTGCTTTGCCGAAGAGCGAGTGCAACTGCGAGATTTGAATCACTCAACGGGATTGTTGTAACATGCGGCTTTTGCTGCTGCTCATTCAAGCCAGAGTTTCTTGTCATTCCTCAATAGAATTGAAATAGGTTCCAGTATGAAAAGACAAGCTGGTCGGCGCATCTAATTTGCCTGCACCTCAAATTGTAGTGAAAACACAATATGGACACTGAACTGGTGGGGTACAAGTTCTAAACTGCCGCTTTAAATATTATAATTGTAATGCAATTTGAAATACGGTATTGTATTAGATTAAAGTAGGCTTCCTGTCCACGTAGGATGATACTTAACATTTAGATAGAATCTAACAGCGAAAGACAAGCTTGATGTTTCTTCTAGTTTGCAAGCCTGTTACAAAAAGTGAAAAACAAGTAAAACACCAGGGGAAATGCACATGCCATTCCAACGATTCCAAATGGCTTGCAAATTGTATTTTGCACTCTTTACGGCTGAATCGGATGGTCATCAGAATTCACTTTATGTGCTTGTTATTTTGAGTTAGGATTTAGATCGTACTTCCCTTCCAAGTAGGATTCCAGTTACAACTGAATAACAACTCTGGTTAAGTTTAGATGTTCAATAGGATTTCTTTCCAAATATGATTTCAACCCAACAGTATTGTATTGAATTGGACTTTGAACATGATGTCCTGGCAAATTTAGATAGGACTTTCTTTCCAAGTAGGACCCCGATAAGAATGTGATTAGAACTTAACTAGAATGTCTTCATAATCTGACTAGAATCTAGCAAGGCAAGAGCTGGTTGTTGTTTTAAGCCAGTAAATTAGTATAATCATGTTTCCATCATATTTTAAAACATTGTTGAATAGGAATTTGCCACGTATCAAGGATTTCAAATATATCTTAGGTGCAATCCAAATAGAACCTGGCAAGGAAAAACAAGCGAGCTGGTCGTTTGTAGTTTGTCTAAACCAAATAGAACTCTTACAGTAAATTAGATGTCCGCCGACATTGCTCGGCGTGTCGGACACCTAAGAGAGGATAGAGGATAACCCCCCCCCCTAACCCCCCCCCACCCGACGTCTGATACGTGGGGGGGGGGCCCCCCCCCCCCCCAAGGACCGCGCGGCAATTTGATGACGTTCCACTAAACGTAGTCTTCGGGGAGCCGGTGTCGCAAAACAGGGGTCCCAGGCTCGATTCCCCCTGCCGGCTCTTTGCTGGTTTGGGGTTCCTGCCTCCTTTTGCAGAAAATCTGGAAAAACTCTGTGTTTTTGGACGTCCTAATTGTGAAAACGCTGGAAAACCCGTGTTTTTTTGCTGGAAATATTGGGGAGCAGAGGGGAAATGCAAGGAAGTGCAAGTGAAATGAGGGGAGGAAATAGGAAGTCGACATGACAGGAAAGCAGCGGGACATGAAAGGGAAACAAAGGGGAACTGAAAGGGACATGCAAGGGACAGAAATGAAAACAAGGGGAGTGCAGGGGGAAGGAGAGGAAACAAAGCACAAGGAAACCAAGCACGACGGGAGATGTAGGGAAATGACTCGCAACGAAAGAACGGGACATACATGGCAAATGAAGCGGACATACCGAGAAAATGTCAGGGACATGAAGGGGGGGCTGAATGGCATGGAAGGGACAGGACCAGGACATCATGGGAAACGTGACAAGGACATGAAGGGGGAAAGCCAGTAGTGAGATGACAGTTCAGGGTCATGCAGGGGCAGTGCCCGGACATCGAGGCAACTCGGGGGGGGACGTGACGCTGCAATGCAGAGAGAGAGAGAGACAGAGAGAGAGAGAGAGAGAGGGAGAGAGCGGGAGAGAGACAGAGAGAGAGACAGAAGAGAGAGAGAGAGAGACAGAGCCACAGACAGAGCCAGAATCAGAGAAACAGAGAAAGAGACAGACAGAGAGAGAGACAGCGAGAGAGAGAAAGACGGAGACTGAGAAAGAGAGACACAGAAAGACAGAGAGAGAGAGAGAAAGAGAAAGAGAAAGAGAAAGAGCGAGAAAGTGAGAGAGTAGAGAGGTTCGAATTAGGGTGCCCTTTTTCTGTAGAGGGGCGTGGACAGGAAGGAGACAGGGAGACAGAAAGAGACAGAGAAACAGAGACAGCGAGAGAGAGAAAGTGGGAGATTGAGGAGAGAGAGGCTTGGGGGGATGGGGAGAATGGGGAGCAGAGGGAGGGAGAGAGGACGACAGAACGCACGAGGGAGACAAGGGAGAGGGAAGAAGGAGAAAAGGGAGAGGACAATGTCGGCGGACTGAGCCGGAGGCTCTAAAGTTTAATAGGAAGTAATTCTAATTCTTGAACAGGAGTTCCTTTCCAAGTAGGATTCTATTAGAATTTGACTTTAATCTAACAAGGACCGACACACTGGTGGCTTCTTCCAATGTGCCTGCGCCTTTCAAGGAGAAAACCTAAAAGACCAAACAACCCAAAAACAAAACACAAAAACATGTTTCCAGAACTTTTTCAATAAGAGGCGTGTTCCAAAGAGTTTTTAATCACGTTTGTTTTTGAGCTTCTCGAGGAGGTTCTTTGTTAAGTTTCTTGAGGTGTTTTATTGTTGGTTGTCTCGAGTTGGTTTTTGTTTCCTCGAGGTGTTTGTGGTCTTCTCTGATCACTTTGGAATTGCTTCGGCTTAACAGTTTCCACAGCATTGGCTGGAGTTTGGCACAGCTTGATCCACGGGAAGACGAATGCAAGCCTCAAAAACTTGGCTGGAATTAGGACCCCAGCAAAAATATGTTTTTTGCCTGGTTAGCAAAAAAAAAACAGAAAGGGGAGCTAATTCTGGGGAGAAAACACGCGCACTACCAGGGTCTGTTGAGTAGCCTTCGAACTTCGAGAACCCCACAACATGATTAGAGTTAGGCCCAGGTCTAGAATGTATATTTTATTGTTTGCTTCACTTTGAGCCACTGGTAAAATGTACAATGCATCCTAAGTCTACCCAGCTAAAATGTGGGGAAGTGGCCAGCCAGCACCCCCCCCCCCAACAAATGCCTTCTCCCATATCCGAAAAATCCCAACTGTCCGGTGGATGCTGGGGCGGCTTTCCTCGTGGTTTCCACTCAAAACAACCGCCCCCCGCGACCGACTCGCCCTTCACGACCCGGAACCGCGCCTTCCGTGACGTCCTCGTTTGCGATGGACCAGCTGGATGCCTTCGTCAGCACGGCCTGGCGCTTCGTTTTGGACTCGGAGCTGTCTCCGTTCGATGAAAAACAACTACAGGGCCGCCCATTTGGGGGAGCCCTGATTTTGAGACACAGCCAAAGGCAAACAAGCAAGTGGAGTGGGGTCGAAAAGAGTTCAGCTAGGGAAAGCAGAAGAGTTGACTGGTGTTGACTGCTCCTGGTCGACACACACCTGACTACAATCTGCGTAGCTGTCAGCGCCTGCTTCAATGAACAGCCAGGTCGACCATGTTTTGTGCACGCCCGTCAACAATCCGTCGGGATGGTTTGCGCTTTGTTCGGATACCTTCTTCAGGTTGGTTTATTGGCGGCCCTCGATTTTGGCATATGAGAAAATCCGCTCCGCTTTGTCCTTGCAAATTGTGTTGACTCCCATGGAACCTCCAGGCCCTCTGGCAATCCGCGCGGCTGTGCTGGGCTTCAACCCCCTCTTGCGTGCATGACAGAAATCAGCGGAGCCCGGAGAGATTCGTCCTTTCACTATGTGGAGCTCAACCAGTCTGTAAATGGTTTCATGTCAGCAGGAAGTGTTTTCCAATTGCGAGAATGGATGACCTTGCCCGAAGCACCGTCATATATCCTCAGCCTCCATGATGGCTACCCTCCCACCAACCAACATGGAAGTGCGGCCCTTTCCAAGCGGAAAGTAGTCTTTCTACCTCGGTCCGTGCACAAACCCATGTTAGGTGGGAGGATAACCATCCAGATCCTAGGTTATCGAAGAGGTCCATTTACCAGCGACTGGGCCAACTAGCCCTTGATTTCCCCGTCTCGAAATGGGTGCTCAAAATTAAACAAGGGCAAACCGCAAGTTTTGGCCCATTTTGCCTCTGAACAGGGTTCCATTTTGGAATTCCGGTTTTTTGAGCCAAATGATACACTGACACATCCGCATTGCAAGTACACCAAGCTGATGTGATCCTCACGCAACAAGTTCCCTCCCCCCCCCCCCCCAAAACAAAGGAAAAACGCACCTGTCGACTGTCGACCCCGAAGAAACCAACGGGGAAACGGTTTTTCAGAACAAGTGCTTGGCACTTCCCCCCATTCAAGTCGGGGTGCCATGCAGTATGTCGGCTGATGGATAACCCCCACTCATTCAGAGCGCCTTCCGTGGCATAGGTGACCTTACCAAGCTAACCTAAAATGGACCCCATGGACCTACAGTTTTCTCGTCCTTCGCTTTAAAGGACCCCAGTGTTTTTCTTTTGCCCGAGGTCCTTTGCCGGCGCCTATGTTCCAGGGTTCCTTTCTTGGGGCGCCTTGCTTACACCTCCCATTCCCATGGAGCCACGGAATCCAGATTCCCCCAAAGGAGGAGTGAGCTCACGTCGCGAAATGGGCGGTTTTCAAGGAAGTGTACATAATGAAAAAGAACATGCCAGGAAAATGAGTGGCCGGTTTTCAAGTAAAAATCTCAAGATTCGACCAGTGGAAACGGCCCCACCAGACAAATGGCTCCTTTTATTTTCCCGTTGCCCGTTCCCCGCCTTCAGCTTCTGCTGGTCTTTGCTTCGGATGGCCCGCGGAAGCTGCATGTCCACCTGCTAGATGCCAGCGGCGCCGCCCCCATGGAGTGCTGGGGGGTGGAGTTTTTTGGCTTTACAAGGGACCCCATCTCCAGTAATTACAGGGGTTAGAATAAGGGTACCCTGTTCTTCGGTTGCCTATTTTAGTAGGGGAACCCTCCCACCCACAAAAGTTGGTAAAAGTGCCCTGGGGGACCTGTGACCTAGTTGTTTTACGGGGGACCCCAGATGAATCAACCCAAATCGGAGGGGTGGTTTTGGCCCCTCCAAAAGTGGGCGCTGAATCCCCACATTTCAATCAGGGGATTCACCCCCCATACGAATAAACCGGGGTTCATTTTCTTGGGGTCAACAAATCGGGGGGGACCCAACCTGAGAAGGGTGGCCCTACCCATCGGCCTTTGTCTGAAACTTGGGGAACACCATCTGGGTGATTCATATTTCACCAAGCTGAAACTTGCGGTGGTTGAGGGGATATTCCCCACAGAAGCCACCACTTGGGGTGAATTCGGTCGTGGCTTTGGTTGTCCCGTTGGAGTTCCTGGAGCACCACGAAAGCACCAGTACCCTCAAAGACGAGCCACCCGGTTCTCCTTAGGCGATGCTTCTCTGTGGGGACGCCTCCAGAGAGTTGGTTTCTCTTTCGCTTCTTATCCAAAATAGTCGCGGACAGCCATTTAGAAGACAGACCCACAGAACGGCGTTCGTGAACCCCCGGTTAAAGCCATAGCTGCCTAAATCACCTTGCAGCGAAAAGCTGCAATTCCGTCGTCTAAGCGGTTTGCCCAGGAACCACGCTCACAACGTGGAAACTGACTGGAGGCACAAGACCATGTCCCTCAAGCCCTCCGTTGGATTCCAAATTCAGACGGGGCATGATGGTTAACACCTGCTGTAAGACTCGTGTCGCCAACTTTCCGGTTTGGAAAAACACAGATTCCACGAGTACTGTTTAGAACCAATGAAAAACAACGGTATCCATCCAATGGAAACCCAGGATGAGTAAATTCTTGGAATGTTCAGGGGGGTTGTGCCCCAGTCAAAGGGAATGCTTCACCTTTGGAGGGAGCGCTCTTCTCCCACATCCACTTTGTGACCCAAACTGACTCTTCATGAGCAGTCACAAAAGTGACTTACTCCTTGCCCCAAGGAGGACATGGCAAAAATGGTCGGATTCGTCCCTCCGTTTTCAGTTGGACAGTCAGAGCTCGTCACCCTGATGTCCCTCCCAGGGATAGACCCGGCTCGGCCTCCAGCAAGGCGACGAGCTGCTCTGCCTCGCGGATGGACTCCTCATGAAGACATCCTGGCGTTTCTCAGCGAATGGATGCTTCTCTGCGGATGGCTTTTGGTTGAGCCATACATCATACCCCAGGCATCAGGTATGTAGAACATAAGCTCTAAAATCAGAAGTCCTGAGCCAAAGAGATGCTAGCCTCGAAGTTGCTTTAGATACCTATCGTTATCATTCCAAGCGACTCCGTGCACGACTCCCTGCACGACACGGGCGCTTGTTTCAAAGTTTCATGGATAGGCAGTCGAGGGCCATCACTCTGCACTGGGGGCGGGGCGGCCCTCAGAGTACTCCGGCATCGAGCGCACCGCGTCGTCATTACCTTGCTGGACCATGCCACATGAGCCAAAGCCACTTTGCCCCAAAGCAAAAAAAAAAAAAGAAGGCGTGGCTTGAGTCAGCATGAAAGTCGAGGCTCGCAGCTCACCCATTTAATCGTTTGTTTTGGCTAGGGCCGTTGGCTTGACATTCAGATCCTCATTTAAATCACTCGTGACAATTAAACCCTGGCGAGGACTCGGGAAAAAAAAAACGGTAAAATTTGATGGTTGCCGAGTCGTCGCAAGTGTCAACACCGAATCATGGCCGATTCCCATGCGGCTGTATAGAATTCAGTCCCAGCACCTCCTTGGGGCAAACTGGGACGAGGGAAAACGACACGCGATCGACCACTCACCTCGACCACTCTTGGCGTCCCAACGCTTCGCCAGTTTGACGGCCTTCAGCAACGCCCCGGTCTCCTGAAGCTGGTGGTGTGCTCGAGAACGGCTAGTCCCATAGGCGATGTTCCCCGAAGCATGGCTTTCCCATGCCAACCGAATCATAGACACCAGTGACACCATATTGCGACGCGTGTCAAAAAAGAATGGGTCACAGACATCCCGTTCAACTAAACTGTTCAGTGCTGGCAGCCTTTGAGCGTGAAATAATCAGGGGTATCCTTGCCTATATTAATATATATATATATATATATATTCAAATCGCCCCATCCAAATAGCTCATATCCTGTTGGTAGTCCATTTACAAAGCCCTCATTCTTAGTGAGATTATTCGGTACAAATTCGCTCCATTAACCGATTGAAACTTAAGAACCCCCAAAGGGGCTTCCTCATGGACGGCTTGTTGATCTTCGCGTTACTTGACTGCGTTCTCGCAGTGTTTGTGACAAAACGGGAACATCATGAAAACCCCACAATAATGGACTGCCAAGAAAAGTCCTGTCTGTTGGCTGCGTGTCAAGACTAGGATGCCCGATGTCCAATAGAAATGCCAATCAGGTTTGGAAAGATTCTGAATCGTTTTCTGGAAAGGCCCAATGATCGTCCCAGACCTCCAGATGGCAAAAAGCCCTCAATGGACATCCTTCTTGTTGCTGCGGTTTCTTGTGGATCTAAAGGGAATCTGCCATACGAAAAAAATGGTTGAAGAAGGCCACCATTTGTCAAGACCTGTCGACGCATCTCCTGGAGATTGATGGCGGTCCGGAGCCTCTCTTCGATCTCATCCTTGGGCGGCTTCTCCTGACGAAACGGAAAACGCGGCGCGGAGAGGCGGGGAGATGCGAGACATCTTTTTCTCGCTTGCCCAAAGGATCCGAGAAGTGATCACCTTCTGTGGGCGTGTGACTCACTGTGGGCGTGTCTTAACGTGGGTGTGTCTCCAAAGAAATGGTTTGGTTTCCCCTTGGTTTCCATTTGCACCAACCCCAAGTACCATCAAGAAGAGACACACCCATATGGACCAAAACAGGAAACCCAAAAGGGCAGATCGGATCGATTCGCTTTGAATGTGTTGGCATGCGGAAAGGGCTTCAAGCGTGCAAAGCTTTGAGACTGTCCCCTGGAACCCTTCATCTACTGGGTTCTGGTTGTAAATCATACGACATGTGTCGCGGCCTTTCCTGCGCCTTCCATAACTCACTGCGCCCAATCTTGGTCGCATCCAAGCTCCAAGATTCCGTGGCCGCAGGCCATATCCACCTATGGCTCGCGCACACACCCACAACACACAAACCAACACCTGCGCGGCACGCGTTACCTCGGCGGCACGCGTTACCTCCATTTGCTCCAGTCCCGTGGAAAAACAAAATCCAGTAGTGATAGATTCCCTTTAAAGCCAACAGGGGAAAATTTAAAATACTCTTAACCAAATGGAAGATTAGATGGGAGGGGGTGGGAAGCCGAAAACCTTCGCGGCTCCTTGCTCGTCTCCCTCTCCTTGGCCCGTTCGCGCTCCTCGCCAGCCACGTGAACAAGGAAACTGCCAGGAAATTCCGCCGGAGGTGAAAGAGAAACCCACCTGGCTTTTGGTGCTTGGGACGGGAACCCTGGGTGTCGAACTTCCTCCAAACTGTATGGAACTAGCCCGAAGCCTGGGCACCAATGTGGCAGAACCAAAGAACATGGTGGGTATGTGTCAAAATAGGGGACACCCAACATGCTTGTTGCTCCTTTCGGTTTCCCTTTCGAACCGACCTGAAAAGGTACTGCAACAAACACATACCTGTGCGCTCAACACCTTTAAATAATTGGTCCAATGCGCAAAGAAGAGGAACTTTCATTCTAGGCGTCTCCGCTTGGCGTTAGAAAACCAAGGCACTGCTGATCCCGCTCCCTGTCAGTGTCATTAGCTAAGGTGGTTGGGGATTGAATTCTTTTCAAACAGCCGAATATGGATTCAAGATTCATTCCAGACATCTTGCAGAATGAATAGTCCAAAGTGTTCCCTCCACCCCCGCCCCCAAACTTCTTGGTAGGAGTCGTCAGGATGGACCTCCGTTGCCACAGCTAGGGTCTTGCAAACAAACGTTGCGCCCCAATAGCCATACCTATGCGAACATAACTCTGGCAGTGCTGGAATTGTTAGGCTTCTGTTGCAGGTAGACACTTGCCAAGGAATGCCAGGCACAGCTGTACTGGATGGCGTCGTTGGCTACATTGCCAACATGCGTCTTTTGAAAGTGCCATTGCCTGCAAGTTGCATCCATCGGGGGCATTGAATGATGGCAAATTCACAACAACGTGTTTGCATGTGTGTGTGTGTGTGTATATATATATATACTCACGGTGTGTCTGTATATATACATAGATATAAATATGAACATATATATGTATATAGTATGTGTGCATATAAGTGCAAATATATGTGTGATATCATAGCCCTTATACTCGCCGTGTCAGTATGTTTGTGCAGCAAACCCCTTTCCAGAGTCACTGGCCCTGGCCTGCCCCGCTCGCCCCGTCGATGATCATGGTTTGTTAGTGTGGGTGTTTTTGAGGGTACCCTTTGCATTGGACCAGACCGAAAATTATTCGTTACGCATTGAACCAATCTTTAAAAGGCTTCGAGCACATAGGCATGTGTTTGTTTCAGGGTATCCTTTTTGGGTCGGTTCGAAAGGGGAACACCTAAACGAAAACGCATCAGTTCTATTTAGACTCCTATAACCACGGTGTTGAATTAGCCCTGCCTTTTTCAAAGCCTAGCTGTTTGGGTATGTGTCAATATACAAATAGAAATGGACCTCCACATCTTTGAAGTGTGTTGTTGGTTTCCTTTTTTAAACCAGCCAACCCCAAAAACATGTACCCTTCAAAGAAAAAGCAGAACTCCGTGTCTCCCCGCTGCAAAGTTAGCTCAGTGCGGCCCAGCGTCAATCTCCAGAATCCACTTCGCTTCCTCTACAGGGTCAGGTGCCACATGAGCCTCAGCGGAAGAGCGACTCTTGCGGTCCAGCCCGCTTTTGCTTGCTGGTGCAATAGGCAGGGAACGAGAAATGACCCTTACAAACCAGCCAACTGGTGGTTTCCTCTAAGAGAATGCCCGGGTTGCCTATTTGCGAGCTGCACACCAGTTGTTCCCTGGTGTATCCCAGTATTCACCGGGTTTCGTTCATGCCAATGCGGGATTTTGTCCATCCACACCCACGCTCTGCAAGAATCGTCAGTGCACACATTGCTTCGAGCCTGGTCCAAACCAACGCGATCTCGTGACCTATGATATCCCTCTCCGATATGGCGGGAATCAATATAGTTAGCAATTGGAATGAGAACCTGACCACTGCGATTTCCCAAATTCCCGACCGCACAGGTCTCTGTGTGTTTTTTTCGTTGTGTCTATAGACCGTTTGCTGTGAGTACTCTAGATCGGGACCTGGCCTGAACAAACAAAATAAACATTCGCGCGCATCGTGCAATCCGGGATCGGGGTCAGAAGTTCTGCAAAACAACAATGACTTGATTTCCTGTTTTACAGCAGTGAAGATACTCATTCCATCTGAATTTTGCGCACTGTGACTGTAGATAATATTACTGTGTGGGTGTGCATATGCGTGTCTTGTTCCTGCGCTACTATCATAAGATCGTGGCAGTGTGGCATAATTACATACGGTGGATGGAGTCTTCTATCAACATATATATATATATATATGTATCTGCATATATATATATATAATATAATATATATATATGTATATATATATATATATATTGAATTCCCAAATGTCGCAGGTTGGAAACTATAGCGTCAATTCCATATTTGCCACCAATTTGCAACATATGCATAGGGAAACAACAAGGCCATTCAAGCATATGTTTGCAAACGGATTGTTGCCTGCGTTCTTCAATTTGGTGTTCCTGTGCATTCCTCAGCTACGGCCAGGGTCTCATTTGTCATCACCACGCCATGTCGATCCGAAAGACTTCCTCCACAACTGACACAAATCATCCAAGCCCTCCGCATCTTTTGGCCCACAACAGTAGACAAATGGAAAACAAAAGGTTGAGAGTTGCTCATGCTAAACATTCAAACCGCCAGGCGCCAGCAAGCGTGCTGGCGCCACCGCATGTCAGCCAGCTTCCAACACATTCCCTGCAGCTTCTCCTGAGGCGCCACCAGCAGCAGAACCATCATTCTTGGTTGACGTTGGAAGGGGAGCAAAAATTCAAATTTTAGCAGTCAAGTGGGGATTCCCCACTAAACCACAATATGCAAAAATGTAAAATGCTTCCCAACAACAACCATGCATTGTCGTCGTTGTTGCTGCCCTTTCCATATATGTGTTCACATTCACGTACCGTCAAGACGTCATTTATGCAAAAAGGGCAAATATGGAAGCTTCTCAAAATGCTGTACCCCCTTTTGGTTGGCATTTGAAGGTTTCTTCATGCCAGAAGAACCAAAAGGAAACCAATAATTCTAGGGAATCCATATTTGGAGCAACTTCTCCATGGGCAAATCCATGGAACTTGGGCCACATTTCAGCCTCGCCCTGTCACAAAACTCATGCCAGGGCGCAGCGGTAGCGTCTTTGATAGCAGCATCCAGCTTAGCGACCTGGCAGCTCAATCAGGATCAACATACCGAGTATCTTGGACATGCGCAGTGAATTGGGGGGATGGTGGATGGGTGGATGGATGGATGGGTGGGTGGGTGGGTGGGTGGGTGGATGGCTGGATGGATGGATGGATGGATGGATAAATGAATGGATGAGTGGATGGATGGATGGATGGATGGGTGGGTGTTCACCCCGGGTGGATGAATTGCCCACTCCTGCTGGGAAGGCTCTTAGGACTAATTCTTCACAAGAGGCAGGTTCTCAGCTATCTCGCACCAGGGGGGGGGGGGGCGATAAATCCTGCCACTGATGTATGCGCGAGCCAAATCAAGCTGCCGGCCGCTCTGAAGTGTCAGGACTCACTACCTTTAAGCTTTAGCTTTGCAACATGCCCTCTTGGAGCCCCAAGACTTGGATTTGACAGGCTTCCCGCAATCAACCACTTGCTAGTTCAAAAAGCACCGAACAACTGCATTCCCAGCCGGCTAGGAAACAAACACAATTCCGACAAACATTCACGTGTCGGCACGCATCGTGTCCAACAAAACTGCACTTCTCCAATCAAACGTCTGCCAGAAGCGCGGATAAGGAGCCATTGCGCGGACCGGTTTCGGGGGTCCGATGTTGACATCTCTGACGCGCACATCTTGCATTGAACCTTGGCCCAGATCAACTCGGGACTCGATCGGCCAAAAGCAGGGCCAGAGCTGCTTGAAGCAAGCAATTGCCAGAAAGCTCGGTCTGAACAACTGCATGCCTTGAAACATAAACCTGCAAGAATTGATACGTGCAGTGTCTCTATGTATCTATCTATCTAACTAACCAACCAACCAACGAACTAACAAACTAGTATATCTATCTATCTAACTGACTGACTGACTGACTGACTAAGTAAATAACTAACCAAATAACGAACTAACTATCGACCGATCGATCGATCTATCGATACGTCGATCTATCGACCTATCAACTTATCAACCCTATATACTGGTTGATCCATCGATCGATCCATCCATCGGTATCGGTATATCAATACTGTATGTGTACTAATATATCTAATGCATAAATGAATTCATTCATTTGTGGATGCATGCATGAGTCCATGAATGTGTGTGTGTGTGCATATCTATGTGTCTATATGTGCATATGCGTGTGTATATGCGTGTGTATGTGCGCATGGCTGTATGTGAATATGTGTACATGCCTGTATGTGTGTATGTGTGCATGCGTGTATGTGTATATGTGTATATGTGTATATGTGTATGGGTGTATAGGTGTGTATGTGTATGTGTGTATGTGTGTTTGCGTGTCTGTGTGTTTGTGTGTGTATGTGTATGTATGCATGCATGCAATGTATGAGTATGTCTCTCTGTCTGTTTGCCAGCCTGTCTGTCTGCCTGCCTCTCTGTCTGTATGTCTGTATGTCTGTATGTCTGCATGCATGATGCATGTATGCATGTACGTACGTGTGTGTGTGTGTATATATATCTACGCATACACGTGCTATGCACGCAACTTGTGCAATAAACACTGCTGGCCCAAGCCGTCCGCCGCGGGACACATCGACCCTTTCTTTTGCGGATCGACGTGAATGCCTCGCGGGTGTTCATGGCTGAGAAGAGCGCACGCTCTGCAGTGGACTTGTCCAGCAAGGCTCGAGCCTGGAACGAGAGTGGCATGAAACAGAACAGCAGTCCACTATATAGTCACTATATGAAGGGTGTTTACCCTACTTTGTGGTGAACACCATCTAGAGACAAGACGTGGTCAAGACAAAAGTGAAGCCGTCATAATGGTCAAAAGTTACGGTCAAAACCGCTCAAGTGAAGGGAAGTCATGGACCAAGCAAGAAAGTGAATCACGTATTGGGGTGAGATGCTGAGTTGGCGTCGACAGAATCAACCAGGATGCCATTGATGCAAGTTGCCAACTGGAAATGTGCTAATAGGGTCAAAACAGGAGCGAAGCGCCTTCGGGAAGCCACAAAGTAAAAGGGAACAAAGTAAATTCCCCAGTTTCAGAGAGGGATCCTCGAAATCGGCTTCCAAAACTGATCCTTCAAATTCCCAATACATCTTTCAAGCAGCTCCTGAAGATGATCCTTCATACCGACAACTCCAACTAACTGGGTCTGTCTTCTTTTGGGGGGACCCCTTTTTGGACGTTTTTTCCAGGGAAACCAAAGGACAGCCACACCGTTTCTGGGGGTCCAACCAAGAAGACACACCCAACATTGAGGTAAAAATCAGACCCCTGGCCTCACGCGAAAAGGCCGGGCTGGCACCGAACCCCGACCCAAACCAAAGTGCAGCCGGCTGCCCTGCTGTGAACTTCACTTCGCTTCCAATTGCTGAAGTCGCCGGGACACAATGAAAAATATGTCCAGTAGTGCTAGATTGCCTTTAAAACGAACAAGGGGAAGACATATTAATTGAGCAAATAGAAGGCCGCAAATCCCCAAAAAATCCCCGAAGAAGTGATTCTCGGGAAGCCCATGGTTGATCTCTCCATAACCTGCTATGCAGCAAGGCAAAACATGGTGACGCAGCGTGAAGGCCGGAGCTCGATGCTGTAAAAGCAATCCCCCACAAGCTACGAAATCAAAGAAACCCAATCTGTCTCCCAAAGTCAACGCTTCTTTTTCAAGTTGCCTTCTCTGACTCTATGTGATTCATTGTGATTCGGACCAACTTGGGATTTCGCTCAAAAGATTAAACAGGCAAAGCATCTCTCCAATGGACCCTGCAGACCTAGTCTGCCTTGATGCTTACCATTTTGCGAGAGTCTGTACGAAGTGTTTAAGATATGGCAGTTGCAAGGGTTGTGAATGGTAGGCATGCTTCCAGAATAACATGACAAACCACAAGACCCATCGTCAAATAAGCCAAAAGTATCAGCAATGCAAAACATTTAAGACCCAATCAGAGCCAGAAACCACTCCTTCCCAGAAAACCCTCACAACGGATCTCGGTTGCTTTCTGCCCCCCCTGCTAAAAGTGACTAACTCTTCGCGGTTTAATACGGAAAACCAACATTCGTTGGCAAATAGTTGTTCAGTCCTAGCATCCCTTGGCAAAATGCACCGAAGTATCTATGTTCGCACCATGTGGTCATGATATTTCCCAGCTACGAATTGCAAAATCCCTTTACCGAAGGGACGGTGGGTTCCGCTTCTCCCTTTGTGAGGGTCGCCCTATCGACGGCCCTATCGAGCGCCTGCCTCCTCAATCAGCTGGCTATCGCCACGTCTGGAGACAGCCATATCAATGCCTCGGTTTGCCAAATTGCAGCATCTTGCAAAGGTAGGCTGCTCAACCAGCTCAAAAGGAACTCTAATTACCTATAGATGCCAGGGATTGAAACTGGAACATAGAGTATATATAGTTATAAAATATGGTTTTCGTGTGCTGTCCGGCCAGCATTAAAGATCGGGTGCAGGCAAAAAACATGCAAACAAAAAGAACTGACACAGGGGAAACAACATGCATGGATATCGAAATTCGCCACAGCTGAAACGAAATGCCCGCAATTTCGACACCAAGAATGACCTCCACACGATAAGCCTGATCATGCTCATACTCGATGGGGACTGTGCTGTGCATTTGCCCTATATACAAATGACATAATGCAATAACGGCATTGGCATCATTTGGGATTGAACTTAATTGGGGACCCTTGGCATTTTATCTCCGCCAACTCGTTGAACAAAGGCTTAGCACAGTAACACCAAATGCGGACGCGGGCTGTTGGAAAGGGCATGCCAATAACATGTGATTTGCCTTTGTGTGATGAAACATGAGTATCTTTCTTCGGTCTTGCCAGGCAATGTCTTCAGTTCTGCCTGTGGGCAAGGGGACGCTTTTTGTTTGGGTCGCTGATGTGTCCAAGAACCTCTTGATTGACCAAAAGGAAAACAGGGGCAACGCAGGTCCAAGGCTGCACAAGGCCCAATCACGTTTACAGAAGTGGGTCTGGCGCCACAGTCAAAGTGAGTGAAGGTAAAGGTCCCGCGCCCACCTGTCCAAAGTATAGAACTTTGACCCATGCACCCTTCATGTACCGGGTCCCGAAAGGCCGACTATAGCACCAGAATCATGATTGACACACAAATCGAAAAACATTATGATGTTGTATTATGTATACGTGTATGTTCATGTATATGTAGACATATACATGCATGTGTATATGTATACATGTATACGTATGTATATACGTATTTGTAGACGCATGGATAGAGGGATGGATGGATGCATGAATGCATGAAGCATGGATGCACGCATGTGCTGATACATGTGTGGATGCATGGATGCATAAACGGACACATGCTGGGTGGATGATGGATGGATGGATGGAATGGATGGACGGAGGGAGGGAGGGACGGACACATGCATGCATGGATGCATGAATGAACGGATGAATGGATGGATGGATGGATGGATGGATGGATGGACGGCTATATGGATGCATGGATGCATGCACGGATGCAGGGCTGCCTGCATCAATACATGCATGGATGGATGGATGGGGCTGGAACGGATGGATGGATGGATGGATGGATGGATGGATGGATGGATGGATGGATGGAGGATGGATGGATGGATGGATGGATGGATGGATGGAAGTCCATCTGTCGCCACCAATTGCCACTGTCCAGCCAGGACGCACTTCTGCAAATGCCCCGTCACGTTGTTGCGCATGGCGATGCGCAACATCTCCTAAAACTCGAAGGAGCGTGTCATGCTGACTCGTCAAATGCATGTCAAACCACCCTTTTTCAGTTCTGACGTCACGACATTTGATAGATCAAGTGGCTCACTGCCTTCAACTGTCATCTAGGTCCTCCAATAGAGAGGTTAGAATGAGGGTACCCTTTTTCTGTTGTCTTCTTCTTGCTCGCGCTCTGAGAGTCAATGCTCGCAGCGAAAACCCCGTGAAACTAAAACTCTGCATTGCCATCGTTGTGATGACAATGCGCAACCCACCTGCTGCGCTCTGTTGTCTATTTTAGTAGGGGAACCCTCCCCCAAAAAGGGGTGAGAAAGGGCACAACTGGGGGACCTAGTCATAGATCAAGTGGCTCACTGCCTTAAACGGTTTGATCAGCCAACAGTTTGATCAGACTTGCCGCTTTGGAACTACAGCAGTTCACTGTAGGCAACGAGCGGATTCTGCGCATTGCCGCTTCGCATCGTTGGGCAAACCTCCCAAACTCAGAACCCGAGAGAGGCCCTTCGTGGTGCGTGAGCTCCGCCCACCTGGTGACCTCGTTATTTGTCTGAGTCGTCTCTCCGTGCTTGTGGCCTCAGCTAGTGGATCAGCTAGCCAGCGGTAGGCAGCAAGCAAGCTGCTTAGCAAGTTAGCAACGTAGCTACTTAGCTAGTCAATAGTTAGTTAGCTTCTGATTTTGCCACTTGATTTGTTCATCTAGTCAGTGGGTCAGCCTCGAGTTAGCTTGGCCAAAATACTGGCGGACGAAGTAAGCCAACGGGTCGACATGGTCAACGTAATCGACTCCAGACAGTCAGCAGGGGTTGCAATAGCTATACATTCCTCAGCCTCCCTCTAATTGTTGGTTTGCAAACCAAACCACCAATTCGTGGGAAGCTGAAATTCTTCTTTCCAGGTTTCCACATTTTGCTGGCTGCCTAGGGGGAACCCACAATCAGGGTGCCCGGGGCCACACGCTCAACCTCTTCCCTTCCGAAAAGTGGGGCACACGCCACAAAACCCCCTTAGGCCCTTCAATAGACCCAAAAAACAAAATGGGGGAAGACAAAAACAGATGCCGATGGCCCCTGGGAGAATTCCCAAACGATGGCGACGGCCCCTTCGTGAAAAAAAATGTCTGCCGGCTCTCCTCGGTGGTCAACACCTGCAGGCACTTCTTGGCGCTCTCCAGGGTGTCCGTGTCGATGCCCAGCCCTGGGCAAATGGCTCTTGCTGGATGGTCCTCCAGTAGAGAGGTTAGAATAAGGGTACCCGATGCTTTTTTGGCTCTACTAGGTTTTCCAGCAGAGAGGCTAGAATAAGTTGGTACCACCTAGATTGCCAAGTTGCTGTTTTTTCCCATGCACCAGCAGCAGTGACTGAAAAAAGCAACTGGCGATCCAGGCAACTTGTTTATCTTGTTTTTTCTGAAAAGCATAGGGTTCTCGTTTCATCTTGGAGGTCTGGGGGTGAAGCCTTGTTCGCCGGATGTTGTGCAACCGTCCGCAACCGTCCGCAACCGTCCGCTGATTGCGCTATGCGCGTTTCACGAAATTTCAAGAAATTTCACGGATTTTCAAGGGGGTTCACGGCCTTTTGCGGGGATTTCACGGTCATTTCACGAAATTTCACGGCCATGTCTGGGGACACCGCTTTCACGTCCATTGGGCGGTTTCACGGCCATTTTCCCCCGTGGCACACGACCCCCTAAAACACGTTCATACGCATGTCTAGGGTGTTGCTCAGAACTGTCGATCAGAGGTGTCGGTCAGGGGTGTCGATCAGCAGTATCGAATCAGAAGTGTTGCTGACAAGTGTTGCTCGGAAGTGTTGGTCGGAAGTGTTGCTCTGCAGTGTGGATCAGAAGTGTTGACCAGAAGTGTGGATCAGAAGTGTCGATCAGAAGTGTTGCTCAGAAGTGTCGATGAGCAGTGTGGATCAGAAGTGTTGATGAGAAGTGTTGCTCTCTCAGAAGTGTTGCGCAGAAGTGTCGCTCTGAAGTGTCGATCAGAAGTGTGGATTAGAAGCATCGATCAGAAGTGTTGCTCAGAACTGTGGACCGTGGTGTCGGTCAGAGGTGTCGATCAGCAGTGTCGAATCAGCAGTGGTGCTCGGAAGTGTCGCGCAGAAGTGTCAGTTGGAAGTGTTGCTCAGAAGTGTCGCTCAGAAAACTGATTTCAGCAGTATTGCTCAGAAGTGCCGCTCAGAAGTGTCGATGAGCAGTGTGGATCAGAAGTGTTGACCAGACGCTCAGAACTGTCGATCAGGATCTCAACAGGGGGAAAAGATCTTGGGGAGGAAAAGGGAGAAGATCTCAGGGGGGAAGGCCTTAGGGGGGAAGGGGGGAAAGGATCTCAACAGGGAAAGGGGGGAAAACATCTTAGGGAGGAAAAGGGAGAAGATCTTGGGGGGAAAAGGCCTTAGGGGGGACAGGGGGGGACAGGATCTCAACAAGGAAAGGGGGGAAAAGATCTTAGGAAGGAAAAGGGGGAAGATTGCGGGGGGAAAAAAAGGCCTTGGGGGTGGCAAAAGATCTTAGGGAGGAAAAGGGAGAAGATCTCAGGGGGGAAAGGTTAGGGGGGAAAGGGGGGGAAAGGAAAGGGGGGGAAACATCTTAGGGAGGAAAAGGGGGGCAAAGGCTCTAGGGGGGAAAGGGGGGAAAGGGGTGGAAAAGATCTTAGGGAGGAAAGGGAGAAAATCTGGGGGAAAAAAGGCCAACAGGGAAAGGGGGGGAAAGATCTTAGGAAGGAAAATGGAGAAGCTCTCAGGGGGGAAAGGCCTTAGGGGGGGGAAGGGGGGGATCTCAACAGGGAAAGGGGGGAAAAAATCTTAGGAAGGAAAAGGGAGAAGATCTGGATAGGGGGAAGGGGGAAAGGGGGCAAAGGATCTTAGGGAGGAATAGGGAGAAGATCTCAGCGGGGGGAAATAGGCCTTAGGCGGGAAAGGGGGGAAAGGGTCTGAACAGGTCACAGGGAGGAAAGGGAAAAGATCTCAGGGGAAGAAAGGCCTTCGGGAAAAAAGGGGGGGAAAGATCCTTGGGAGGGGTGGGAAAAGGTGTTAGGGGGACTGGGGGGAAAGGATCTCAATAGGGAAAGGTGGGAAAAGATCTTAGGGAGGAAAAGGGAGATGTCAGGGAGGAAAAGGCCTTAGAGGGGAAAGGGGGGAAACAGGGAAAGGGTGCAAAAATCTTAGAGGGGAAGGGGGGCAAGGGGACAATTCCAAAGGGACGCAAATAAGAAAGCAGGCGGCCTGAGCCGGAGGCGTTAAAATAATGCGTTTTCTTTTCCATCTTGATTCCGACAGCATTTGGTAGGGAACCACCATCCACGCAACTATGGATCCCTTAGGTTCCGTTGACGGCGCGCTCTCTGGCCTGCTGAATGGATCTCGAAGGGGAGCGAGATCTTAGGTTGTTCCACTGGAAGAACGTAGGCGCCGGGCTTCAACCATCCCTGGCTTGGGGTGACCTGAAGATGAAAATCCGCCGGCGTGGGAACCCCAGCCCGAACTGCAAAAACATGGTTGCGTCAAAATTAGGGTGGCCTCTCTTTGATTAATTGGCTTCAGAATGCCCCCCCTTAAAGGGGGGGTAGGACCCCCCTGAAAAATGAACTCTTGTTGCGAGACCAATTCCTGAAGGGAAAAAAACTTCTCCAGCTCTTCTTTGAGCCGCTCCAGCTCGGCCTTGCGGCGCGTGATCTGTCCTTACGGGTCACGTCCTTCTGCAGCTCGGCGCGGCGGAGCTGGGCATACAGCACGGAGCCATGATCGCACATGCCATTCACACGCTGAAGCTCCACAAGGACTCCACCTTGGCCTCCAGCCCCAGGCCCTTCTTCTCCTCACCCTTGAGGAGTGCCTGCAAGCGCCCTGGCTCCTTCGCCTGTCACGTAGGACAAATGGAGCCATGTGAGAAAAAACGTGAGAGCCTCCTCGATTCTCCTCTGCGCTTCCTGTTCTTCTCCTGCCGTCTCTCCCAGGCTCCACCTGCAACGGACAAAAATGTCATGACATCACACTCCAGCCAACGACAGTCCTTGGCCTCCGATGGCCGCGACTGCTGTCCCCCACCAGTTGCCTTGACCTGTCACGGGACGCCGCGTCAACATGAGCCCGCAAAAGCTCATGACAAAACAACAGAACCCTCTGCGCCTTGACCCCAGAAATGTGGGGTGCCTCAGATTTCATTTTAAAATTTCATTTTTGAGGGGAGCCTTTGTTTGGTGAGCAACAGGATTCCTTGGGCAACGCTGCGCAACATTTGGCTTCAAGAAGCAAGGCAAGATCACAAGGATATCGTGTTAAATGACTTATTCAAGGGGGGCAGCCGCGCGGGAATTTCTGGATGACCCCCTCCCCAGGCGGCGCCACTGCCTATAGCTTGCCCTGGGCATTTGACGGAAGCGTTTTAATTGAAATATGGAAGGGGGGAGATTAGCAGCGCCCGGGCTTCCCCCCATATTTCACTCATAAGGGGGGGGGGGGGGGGCATTTTAAGAGGGATTGTTCTCACTCGGCCTGCTTGGGGCCAAACAGCTTATCAACCCCTGTCCGCAGGAAACGAGAACGGCGTGTGCACCTTAGTTAGCTGGCCCTTAGTCGACGGATAGCCACTGCACCTAGTAGCCACTCATCTCCCCATTAGACGAATGATTACGCGCAACGACCTCCTTCCATGAAATAGGCACCCGCGAGACGACACCTCGAATCGCCCGACCATACTGAAACAAGTTGAGCCGTCCAACCCGCCGTCCAACCATCCACCCAAAAATATGTAGGCGCTAGATCCGGGCAAGGATTAGCCAAGAGCATTCTCGCTCAATCAAAAGTATGGAGACGCGACCACGTCACCCGCGCGGCATAGGAAAGCTAGCTTTGAGCGACTGGGACATTGAGGGGCTCATACCCTCCCTTACCTTGTGATCACCCAATTGGATACAGGCCAAATGATAAGCAGTCCGGCCGATTCGCGGAAGATGCTTACGCGTCAAAGAAAATTGGAAGTTGAACAATATGGTGAATTCCAGCTCTTGCTGTTTGCTTTCCCGGCCATGAATTGCTCTCGGGATTCTAGGTGTTGGCGTCGCCCAGCCTGCGGGGTTGTTGAGCAGCCCAAAAGACAGGTCCCCATTAAAACACCCTGATCTGATCGGATGCGCTCCATCATCCGTAATGGAAATGCAGGATCAGATATCCCTGGCCTATCGCAGGGGGTTGTCGCTAAAACGGTTTGGAGTCCAAACGCGGAGGCGCACCCCCTCCAACAGTTCGCCAGGGGTTGTGTATCCGTGGCCGCTCTTGCCAACAGTACCAGCAAAAACTGACAGTCCGAAAAAGGACAAGGAGAGGCAACGAACACAGGAGGCAAGAAGCCAAGAAAGCGCCACGGTCCAAGACTGTGATCAACACTCACTCTTTCGCAATTGGTTGGGGAACCCCCAAATTCATTCCGTGGAGTGTTCACGAGGGGTCAGCCATAATTAAGAACAAATTCTGGGCAAGACCTGCGGGCCTACATACGGGAACGGTCTGGCCCGAGCCGCTCCTGGAAGAAGTTGTTCGCAACTTCTGGCGCCGTCCTGGCCGAGAAACTGCGCAAGACACGGGGCCCGTGGCAGGGTGTTCGCGCTGAAGGGGGGGGCCCCATCCAGACTCTGGGCAAACAGTCATCCACAAGGCATTCCCCACAACGGGCCATATCTAGTGCGTGGGTTGGGCAAGGCAGCAAAGCACTTCAAACACCAGCAAAGGCGGCCTTGGCGCAGTATCAACTCAAGAAAACATTCAACCTAAGCCCAACCGAAATCCAGCAAACAAATGAAACTATGCCATTCTACACCTTAAAGGTCACCATCATAGCCCATTGAGTGAAGAGCTTACTTTAGACAAGGACCAGCACACATCAACTAGGTTCCATGTTTGGCTTGCAACTGCACTCAGCCCACAGGCCCTTGTACTCCCCAAACTCGAAGAGCTCATCCTGTTGCCAGCCACAGATCCACTACATGAGCAATGTCAACCCACCTTGCTTCTTGTTTCTAGAGCCACCTCTTTTCATGGGCCAAAGCTAAAGGTGGTGCTGCAAGTGCGTGCCAATGAGCAAGTAGTCCTTAGTGCTAGGTGTTTTTAAAGATCTGCGTTGCAGGCAGATGTGTTTCTTGGCAAGCCATGTAGGCCTGTGCTTCTGGGTGGCCAGGCCTCCTTGTTTCTGGAGCCTTGCCAAGCCTAGGCGCAAGGCCTCCTGTAGCCCAATGGTTTTCTGGAGCCTTACCAGTCCCAAAGTGTCAGGCCCAAGGTGTTCGTTTCTTGAGCATTTGCAAGCTCAGCTTACTGAAGTTCATTAGAGCTTTGCAAAAGACAAATCCTTCTGGAACCTTTGCAAGGCGCTTGCTAGGCAGTTCAATGCACATCAACAAAATCAACATAAATATCAATAGTCTCGGTATTCAGTTGTAAAAGCAGCCAGTCGATGAACTTATTTGTATTGATATTTTCAATATCGGACCCTCTGCGAAGTCGATCAAAGTGTCGCTCAGAAGTGTCGATCAGAAGTGTTGCTCGGAAGTGTTGCGCAGAAGTGTCAGCCTGAAGTGTTGCTCAGCTCGATGTGAGCAGTGTGGATCAGAAGTGTTGGTCAGAAGTGTTGCTCAGAACTGTCGGTCAGAAGTGTGGATCAGAAGTGTTGCTCATCAATGTCAATCATGTGGTTCAGCTCAAACTGTCGATCAGAAGTGTCAATCAGAAGTGCGGATCAAAAGAAGTCTGGCTCAGAAGTGTCGATCAGAAGTGTCGATCAGAAGTGTCGATCAGAAGTGTTGCTCACAAACATCGATCAGAAAAAGTGTCGCTCAGAAGTGTTGCTCAGAAGTGTCGATCAGAAAAAGTGTGGTTCAGAAGTGTTGATCAGGCGTCGCTCAAAAGTGTCGCTCAGAAGTGTCAATCAGAAGTGTGGGTCAGAAGTGTTGCTCAGAAGCGTTGATGAGACGGGTTCCTCAAAAGTGTCGATCAGACAAAGCGTCGCTCAGATGTTGGTCAGAAGTGTCGTTCACAAGTGTCGATGAGCAGTGTGGATCAGAAGTGTTGGTCAGAAGTGTTGCTCAGAACTGTCGATCAGAAGTGTAAATCAGAAGTGTTGCTCATCAATGTCAATCAGAAGTGTGGTTCAGCAGTGTTGCTCAAACTGTCGATCAGAAGTGTCAATGAGAATAAGTGCGGATCAAAACGATCAGAAGTGTTGCTCAGAAAATTAAATCAACAAAAAGTGTCGCTCAGAAGTGTTGCTCAAAAGTGTCGGTCAGAAAAAGTGTGGTTCAGAAGTGTTGATCAGGTGTCGCTCAAAAAGTGTCGCTCAGAAGCGTCAATCAGAAGTATTGCTCAGAATAGTCGATCAGAAAAAGTGTCGCTCACAAGTGTTGCTCAGAAGCGTCGATCAGCAAAAGTGTGGTTCAGAAGTGTTGATCAGGTGTCGCTCAAGTGTCGCTCAGAAGTGTCAATCAGAAGTGTTGCTCGGAAAAGTCGATCAGGAAAAGTGTCGCTCAGAAGTGTCGCTGAGAAGTGTCAATTCAGCAGTGTTGCTCAAAAGTGTCGTTCAGAAGTGTCGATGAGCAGTGTGGATGCGGATCAAAAGTGTTGCTCAGAAGTGTCGATCAGAAGTGTTGCTCAGAAAAGTTGATCAGAAAAAGTGTCGCTCAGAAGTGTTGCTCAGAAGTGTCGATCACAAAAAGTGTGGTTCAGAAGTGCTGATCAGGTGTCACTCAAAAGTGTCGCTCAGAAGTTTCAATCAGAACTGTTGCTCAGAAAAGTCGATCAGAAAAAGTGGCGCTCAGAAGTGTTGCTCAGAAGTGTCAACCAGAAAAAAGTGCGGTTCAGAAGTGTTGATCAGATGTCGCGCCAAAGTGTTGCTCAGAAGTCTAGCACGCGCTGGGAATCGCAACTTTGTAGTGCAAGTCTAGTACGCGAAGTACAGGTTCCCAGCTCTAGCTGGAAAATTGCAACTTCGTACAACAAGGATAGCGCGCGAAGTACACGTTTCTGGAAAATCACAACTTTGAAGTGCAAGTCTAGTGCACGAAGTGTGCAGGTTTTCCAGCACTAGCTGGAAAGTCACAACTTTGTAGTGCAATTTTGAGCTCCAGCTCGAAAATCGCAACTTTGTAGTACAAGTCTAGTACGCAAAGTACAGGTTTTCAGCTCTAGCTGGACAATCGCAGCTGTGCAGCGCAAGTCTAGTGCGCGAAGTACCAGCTCCGGCTGGAAAATCCCAACTTTGTAGTACAAGTCTAGCGCGCGAAGCGCAGGCAACAAGTGGAGCACGCAAAGTACTGTCTTACAAGCTGAAAACATAGTTTGCGCAGTAGGCTTGATTGCGATCCCCATTGGCTTATACCGAAAAATGTTCTCTCTGAATAGTTTCTTGGGTTTGCGCAAAGTGATGCGCATTCGGGTTCGTGGGCTCTGTCTTGTTTTTCCCGAAAGCATGGCGAAGGGTTCTTCCGCTGGGTTCACTTGAGTTGTTCTCATGAGAGTCATTACAAGGTGTCATTGCAAGGAATCATCATCATGAAAGTCAATGCTAGGAGTCATTGCTAGGAGTCATTGCAAGGAGTCATTGCTAGGAGTCATTGCAAGGAGTCATTGCAAGGAGTCATTGCAAGGAGTCATTGCAAGGAGTCATTGCAAGGAGTCATTGCAAGGAGTCATTGCAAGGATTGCAAGGAGTCATTGCAAGGAGTCATTGCAAGGAGTCATTGCAAGGAGTCATTGCAAGGAGTCATGCAAGGAGTCATTGCAAGGAGTCAAGTGCAAAGTTGCAAGTGTGCATGGAGTCAAGTGCAAGTTGCAAGTGCAAGGAGTCAAGTGCAAGTTGCAAGTGCAAGGAGCCAAGTGCAATTGACTTGCAAGGAGTTAAAATCTCTTCTTAGGGCGGCGGGGTAGCGCCGACGACACTACACGAAAATCGACCCTCTGCGGGGATCGGCGTGGTCGAGGTGCAAAAACTCGAGGTTTTTTGCGATTTTTAACATGCTCACGCGACCCTCTGCGGGGATCGGCGTGGTCGAGGTGCAAAAACTCGAGTTTTCGGCGTGGTCGAGGTGCAAAAACTCGAGGTTTTTTGCGATTTCTGCGGTGCTCGCGCGACCCTCTGCGGGGATTTGCGTGGTCGAGGTGCAAAAACTCAAGGTTTTTTGCGATTTCCGCGGTCGAGGTGCAAAAACTCGAGGTTTTTTGCGATTTCTGCGGTGCTCGCGCGACCCTCTGCGGGGATCGGCGTGGTCGAGGTGCAAAAACTCGAGGTTTTTTGCAACTTTTGCCGTTCGAACTGGTCCTCGGGAGTTGTCTCGTGGTTCGCGCGCCTGCTCCCGGAACCGGCGGGTCGCGGGTTCGATTCCTCCCTGGTCCGCGGGCGGGCGTCGCAAGATGCAACTTGCATTTTAAAGCAAGCAGAGCAACTTGCGCAGAGCAAGTTGCACAGAGCAACTTGCGCAGACCAACTTGCACCGACCAGTTTGCGCAGAGCGCCTTGCCTAGAGCAACTTGCGCAGAGCAACTTACGCAGAGCAACTTGCACAGAGCAACTTGCACAGAGCAGCTTGCACAGAGCAACTTGCAGGGAGCGCAATTTGCACAGAGCAACTTGCAGGGAGCCACTTGCAGGGACCAACTTGCCGGAGCAACTTGCGCGGAGCAACTTGCAGAGCAACTTGCACAGTGCAACTTGCGTAGAGCACTTGCGCAGACCAACTTGCACCGACCAGTTTGCGCAGAGCACCTTGCCTGGTGCTGTCTCGCGCTTGCTTCACAAATGCTTCGTGGAGGGAAAAAGAACGCATCCTGCAGCGTTGGGCCGACCTCGCTTGCGATGTTATGCTTTCGGGCCAACCGTGGTCTAGTTTGTTGTTGTTTCTGTTTTGTCTATTTTAGTAGGGGAACCCTCCCAACCAAAAAAGGGGTGAGAAAGGGCACTACTGGGGGACCTAGCTCTAGATGGGTGTGTGTTTTTTAGATGGCTTTGGGTGTGGCTTTGCGGGAAACCCCAGCAGATTTTGGACCTTTTGGGGGCAGTTGTTGTTGAGGGTCTCCTTTTGGGGGTGGTGTTTTTTTGCTTTTAAGGGTACCCTTTTTGAGCTGGCTTTCCGGGCAAACCACCAGGGAAGGGCGATGGTTTTCGTTTTTTCTTTCGAGGGTACCCTTTTGGGGCTGGCTTTAAGGAGAAACCACAAGGAAGCCACCGGTTTGTTGGGGTCCCCTATTCTGACACCTACGCAAATAATTTCCTGAGAGACCCGAATTAAGGCTTTCAGCTGCTGACAAAAGAAAGGCCGGGCGTTGCACGGTTCTGGCGGCTGTGGGGCATAAAGAATATGGGTCTGTCCCCCCCTCCCTTTGCAGCTTTAAAGCGAAACCCACAGGAACACCGAGACCATTTCGGGGGTCCGGCTCCTAAAGAACACCCATATCTGCCAGGGACCTGCATGGGTCGCTCGTGCCCCGGAATGAGCTCGGCGTACTTTCATGCCCGAAATCAAACACATACCCCGACCCCCCAATGTAGAAAGTGAAGGGCGGCTTGCTTGAACATTACGAGCTTAAAGAACCAAATGTAAAGAAGTCAAATGTAGAGAGTTCATTGTCCTCGATCTACCCAGGTTTTGATTGTTCCCCCCCCCCCCCGTGCTCAGCCATCGCCCGAGGGTCGTGAGGCTCGCATCACCGCGGACCGGAGCCGCTGCACGTCCCGGGCAGCTTGGGCGTCCTCGACCTCTGAGTGGCACCCTTTGATGGAATATCATTTGGGGGTTTATGTCCAGCAACTGAAGGGGTTCCGACTCTTCAGAGAGCCATCAGCGCACAAAACAGAAGGTCGTAAAGGAAACTAACCCTTGTGAAAACAGATCTCTGAACCTGTCTTTTCTGAAGTGGCCACTTCAATGGGGGGCGGTCTTGGGCGCTGCTCATGTGCATTTGGGGACACCAACCCTCCCATTCGCCAGTCCATGGGTCTCGCGGCCAGGGCAACGAGTTCAACTTGTCTGTCAGCACGGTTGACGTTGGAAGGGGAGCCAAAAAAACACTTTTGGCAGTTAGGTGCTTGGATTTCAGCCACTAGACCACCATCAGCAAACAATAAATGCAAAATGTTTCCCAACAACAACCACGCAAGGGTGCATGGCGAAACAAGTCGCACCCGGTTTCTCTAAATCAAAATCAAAGACCCGCAGGCCAAGTTCTCCGAGCCGCGGCTTGCTGCGCGTACATCTTCTGCAGCTCGAATTCCCACTTCACCAGCTTGGAGCCGGGCAGCCCCGCGCCTCGGAGAGCTCGGAATGCGAAGGGGACCGGAAACTGTGGGCTTCTGGATCTGGGTTCCCTTTCTTCGATTTGGCGTCTGGCTGCCGGGAAAAAAACAAAAACAACTGGTGATAGATGTCCTTTTCACTGGGCTGTCCGCTTTCAGATCCCAGATCCCTGCTTAAAGCGACTAACTTACTAAATGGAAACCCAACCACTAAACCCCAAAAGTCCAAAAAGCTAAGATGATTGCCAGGAACCACCAAGTTAAAGCATCCCCCTCTAAGAGCAAAAGGGGCCCACCATTTTGAGAACCTCAAAATGGAGTCCCGAACAGGCTTGAACCCGTGTGACTTAGTCCAACAACCCTCAAGATCGCACCGGAGGTCGAGAAGGTGGCTGTGTAGAGAGGGTACCCCTGGGTGAACGTAGATGGCGCAATTCAGCTGATGTTTTGAGCAATCCCTTTCCCCTAATAATTAAGGCCCCCTAGCAACAAGAAGCTGATCCAGCGCCCGGAATCCGAAATCCCTGAATACCAAATCGGAATTGACCCACTACAAAACTAAGCCAAAACGTCCTTGAAGCCAGCTCTATAAACCAAGCAAGCTCACGCCAAGACCCAAAATACCCAAGCAAGGTGCCCATGCCTGCATGCCCCTTGGAAGGCTTTCTTCCGAGGGGAAAGCACCCAGTTCCCCCAGCCCTTGGTTTCTGTCTGTTCGGGGGCCTTTCCGCTTTGTGCGTTGCGCGGGTGATGAGAAGGGGCCTGGATCGCCCGTCGCCGCCTTTTTGCTTTTTTTTGTTCGCTTTACCCCAACAACCAGCAGCAGTGACTGAACAAAACTGCAACTGGGCGATCTGGGGTGGTGTTTCACCAAGACGAGCTGGAATTTTGCGACATCTGCTTTGACCCAACTGCAGGGCAGGGTCGGTGCCCTGACAGCTTCAACTTATGAACAGTAAGCGGGACTGGCACGAATTCGGGGGTCCAATGAGTCCAATGAGACCTCCCGACGTGGGTGGCTTCCAAATGGTTGCCCTACCACAGTTTCCTGATGGTTGCGCAGGAACATGGAAAAAGAAGCGTCAAAACTGGGATTCCATCAAAAGAACCGCAGCACAAGCGGCGCTTAACACACAGCTCGGTTCACGTTGGAAGGGGAGCAAAAAGTGAAGAAAAATAGCAGTTCAGTGGTTGGATTTCAGCCACTCAACCACAATAAGTGCAAAATGATTCCCAACAACCATGCAAGGGAGCTTCCAAGCTTGAAGCATGGTCAATTTCAGGGAGCTTTTGACCCGCACCCAGTGGGACAGTTGCAGCCCTGGACAGCGGCGCCAACCGCCCACAAAAGCCCGAGCTTCGCTTGGCATCGTCGATGGCGCTCTGCAGTTGGCTTACGTCCTGGCCCGAGCTGTTACGTCTGGGCGTCGGGGGGGGGTTTGACACATAACCCACACGCGCAATGAAATGGTCATGTGGCTGTGGGTCACAAATAGGTACCCATACCCCCCAGTGAACATCCCAATCCAACCACTAAAATAGGTTCCAAAATGGGTGGTGAATTCACCTATCCCAAAATGGTACCATTGGTTTTGACCCACATGTCCGAAATGATCGACTGCACTCCACACAAGGAAGTGAACTCTCGCGATTCGCTTTCAGCCTTTGAAGCCAATTTGAGTCGGTGCGCAGGCGAAGGTTATCTTCGGCCGAGGGGTTAAATCAGAGAACCCTCACAAGATGGTGATAGAATCGGTCGTGTTGTGGATCTGGCTTAAAGAGACGTGCAAAAGGTTCTTCCAAACATGCGTCCCTGTGTGGTACATCATCCTCATCACAAACAAAGATCGAACATCATGGAAAGGAACGTGCAGGGGCGGCCGCCATTCCGAGTACTTCAACACATCAGTCAAGAGACTGCGCAAGAAGCGTGGAAAAAAACAACGCACGTTGATGAAGCGGCCGAAACCGAAAAGAGTCCACCCCTGACATGCTAAAGATTCTCTGCGTGGCGTGAATTGCTCGGAAGTTTGCCCAGACCCCAGAGGTGTGGGGGACTTCGACCTGCAAACTGTCTGTTTCAAAGAACCCCGAAAACCAGTCCAACCGCCAAGCGTCCTTCTACTCATGAGGTGAAAATCCACCTCATTCCAGGAAACGAGGTAAGTTTCTTCACCTCCCCGCCCCCCCAAAAAGAAACGACACAACTTTCCAGGGCTCCTTTTTTTCCACCCAGCCCCCCCTCTTCCGCGTTTCGCCCCCAAACCCCCCCCCCCCAAACCCCCCAACACCCCCCCAACGCCTTGGCCGCGAGCGCCTGCTCCACCTGCGCCGCGGCCTCGGCCTTCGGAAGCGGCTCCTTCAGAGGCGCCTCCTGCCGCTGACCCAAATGGGTGGGTGGGGGGTGTGGGGTGGGGGCGTGGGTGGGGGTTGGGGGTTGGTCGGGTGGAGTCATTCTTTTCAACCATTCGTAAACCAAAAAACCACGCTGTTCTGTGCTGGAGGGGGGGGTTCTGGCCTCATTGATCAAAGTCACCCCCTAAGTGGTGGGTTAAAGGGAAACAACCCCATTGTCTGACTTTGATAACCCCCAGAAACCGTGAAAATAATGGCCCCAGGGGTTGGGGGTTTGGGGCTTGGGGTAGATTCAGTCTTTTCACTTCTCAACCATTCGTTAACCCAAAACCACGCTGTTCTGTGTTGGAGGGTTCTTACCGGATTCTCCAGCAGCAAATTGCTCGCAGCCACAAGACAGCACAAAGAAGACATCTGCTGGCAAGCCCTGCGAAACCCTTGCTTGGAGCACTCCTTTGATACTGTGGATGGACGGGAAATCCGCCCGCACCATGAAATGAAACCATGGGGAAACCATAACGTTCGTTGGCTGTTACAGGGGAATCATCATTTGAGGGCTTCTTGGGTGGGGCATGATTTCGTCCATCCGCAGTAGGGGTTGGTTCAGTTTGTTCAGCCATTCTTTTAAATAGGAGGTATTTTCAGTGACCAGCTGTTTCGTTTGAGAGCTTTTGGTGGTTCTCTAGAAAGAAGGATCCTGGAAAGAATGGGGAAGCTACCCCTAAAAAATCATTGTATTCGTACCTAGTGTTTGTATTTTTCTCTTATTTATTTCGAGACTGTGATATGTTTCAGCTGCGTTCAAGGATTGCGAGATGAAGCGAGAAATAGAGAAAGGGAACAAATACGGAACAAAGAAATGTCTAATGCTTAGGTGTGCTATTGATTCATTGCAGTGCGGTGGGAAATGACCACTTCTGTGATACAACAGTAAGGGCATCCCACAGACCGAAACGCCCCATATAAAGCGGGAGATTTGCTTGTATCATCACAAAGTAGGGATAAATCCTGTGATCCGACAACCCTGATTCACGTATTGGTTTTTCTTCAGGTCTCCACTTATTTCAGATTCATGTGTCTTCGTATGCGTTGGTGTGTGTTTATGTGCTTATGTGTTTCATTTATCTATTTGCTTGTTTGCCTATTTGTTGTTGTATATTTGTCCATTTGCTGCTGAACCAATTTATCTGTGCACTTGTCTGTTTTATCTATGTATCTATTCATTGGTTTCCTTCGTATTTGTGCGCATTTATGTACATATTTGCTTGTGTTCTTGTTCGCTTGATTGTTTGTTTCTTTGGTTGTGTGTGTTTGTTGGTTTGTTTGGTTGTTTGTGTCTTTGCTTCTTTGTTTCACTGATTCTCTGTTAGCTTGCTTGGTTGTTTGCTTGCCCTTGTTCGCTTGCTTGTTTGTTTGATTGCTTGTTCGGTTGTTTGTTTGTTTTTTTGCTTGCTTGCTTGCTTGTTCGTTTGCTTTGGCTGTTGTTGTTGTTTGTTTGTTTGTTCGTTCGCTCGTTTGTCTGTTTTCGTGTTTTTGGTTGTTTGCTCGCTTGCTTCCTTGTTTATGTGCTTGTGTGTTTGTGTGTTTGGCTGTCTGTCTGTCTGTCTGTCCGTCCGTCTGTCTGTCTGTCTCTTTGTTTGATTGATTCTTTGTTTGTTGGTTTGCTGTTTTGCATTGTTGTTTTTGTGCTCGCTGCATTTTCATATCTGTTTCTTTGTTTGCTTGCTTGTTTGGTTTGTTGATCTTTCTATTTAACTACGTATTTGTTTTTGGTCCATTATTCAGTTGGTTATCTAGGTATGTATTGTTTAATTACTTGTGTATCGCCGTTCATGAACTACTTACCTATATGTATTTGATTTGCGCATTGGTGCAAAATCACCACGAAAATGGAAACTATTGGGTTAAACACTATTGGTTTTGCGACCTTTCTAACATTGATGTTTTCTCATAATGCTTTTTTGGTATGTGTTGGTTTGCTAACTTTCGGATGATCTCCTTGCAGTCTGGAGTCTGGAGAGTTGTTTCTTCATGATCTCTCCCTTTCTTTTTCCACTGCATCTCATGAAAGTCGCCCCGAGGAAGGGACACAACGTTCTCTTCTCTTGTCTCATCTCAATTCTCCACCCTAGACGTGCTTCTGGAGATCCCAGATAACTGGGAAAACTTGAAGGCTCGATGTTCAACTTGCCGTGGAACCCTGGCCCAAGAGGTTAAGAGGTCTGGGGTAGGTTGTGTAGGTTGCAACCATGGTAGCCGGTAGTGGGCATGGTTCCCTTACCGTGGTAGGCTGAACATAAGCCCCTACAAGTTGACGGAAGGAACCCAAACAGCGGATCCCCCAAAAGGAAAGAGATGAGGCTTTACTGTGGATATGGAATCCACTTCGCACCGGGTGTCTTATTCCAGCAATATGGGTTTTATGTACCGCTGGTGCAGGAAATACAAGGTTCAAAAGGCGCTAATGCGTGTCTGTGTGTCTGTGTGTCTGTGAGTCTGTGTGTCTCTCTGTGTGTGTGTGTGTGTGTGTCTGTGTGTGTGCGTGTGTCTGTGTGTGTGTGTCTGTGTGCGTGTCTCTTTGTGTTTCTTGTGTCTGTGTGCTTCTCTGTGTGCGTGGGGTCCAGTGTCTGTGTCTGCGTCTGTGTGCGTGTTTCTGTTTGCGCGTCTCTGTGTTTGTCTGTGTGTGTGCCTTTGTGTGTCTGTCCACTGTGTGTGCGTGTGTCTGTGTGTGTGTGCACCTGTGTGTGTGTGTGTGCGTGCGCGTGTGCGTGTGCATGTGTTTGTCTGCGTGTGTCTGTGTTTGTGTGTGTCTGTGTCTGTGTGTGTGTCTCTGTGTTTCTGTGTGTCTGTGTCCGTGTGTCCGTGTCTCCGTGTGTCCGTGCGCGCGCGCGCGTGGACGTGGGTTTGGGCGTGGGCGTGGGTGTGGGCATGCGCGTGCATGTCTGGGCTTGGGTGTGGGTGCGGGTGAGCGGTGTGGGTGTATGGGTGTGTGGATGTGTGGGTGTGTGGGTGTCTGTGTGTGCGTGTGGGTGTGTGTCCGCGTGTGTGTCTGCGTCTGTCTGCGTGTGTCTTCGTGTGTGTGTGTTGTGTGTGTTGTGTGTTGTGTGTTGTGTGTGTTGTGTGTGTTGTGTGTGTTGTGTGTGTTGTGTGCTGTGTGCTGTGTGCTGTGTGTTGTGTGTTGTGTATCGTGTGTCGTGTGTCGTGTGTTTTGTGTTGTGTGCTGTGTGATGTGTGATGTGTGTCGTGTGTCGTGTGTCGTGTGTCGTGTGTTTTGTGTTGTGTGCTGTGTGATGTGTGATGTGTGATGTGTGTGTGTGTGTAGTGTGTGGTGTGTGTGTGTGTGGTGTGTGGTGTGTGGTGTGTGGCGTGTGGTGTGTGGTGTGTGGTGTGTGGTGTGTGGTGTGTGGTGTGTGGTGTGTGGTGTGTAGTGTGTGTTGTGTGGTGTGTGGTGTGTGGTGTGTGGTGTGTGGTGTGTGGTGTGTGGTGTGTGGTGTGTGGTGTGTGGTGTGTGTTGTGTGGTGTGTGGTGCGTGTAGTGTGTGGTGTGTGTGTGGTGTGTGGTGTGTGGTGTGTGGTGTGTGGTGTGTGGTGTGTGGTGTGTGGTGTGTGGTGTGTGTTGTGTGTTGTGTGGTGTGTGGTGTGTGGTGTGTGGTGTGTGGTGTGTGGTGTGTGGTGTGTGGTGCGTGGGTGTGTGGTGTGTGGTGTGTGGTGTGTGGCGCGTGGTGCGTGGTGCGTGGTGCGTGGTGCGTGGTGCGTGGTGTGTGGCGTGTGGTGTGTGGTGCGCGTGCGCGTGCGCGTGCGCGTGCGGGTGCGGGTGCGGGTGCGGGTGCGGGTGCGGGTGCGGGTGCGGGTGCGTGTGCGTGTGCGTGCGTGGGTGTGGGTGCGTGGGTGTGGGTGTGGGTGTGGGTGTGGGTGTGGGTGTGGGTGTGGGTGTGGGTGTGGGTGTGGGTGTGGGTGTGGTTTGTGTGGGTGTGTGTGTTTGTGTGTTTGTGTGTTTGTGTGTTTGTGTGTTTGTGTGTTTGTGTGTTTGTGTGTGTTGTGTGTTTGTGTGTTTGTGTGTTTGTGTGTTTGTGTGTTTGTGTGTTTGTGTGTTTGTGTGTTTGTGTGTTTGTGTGTTTGTCTGTTTGTGTGTTTGTGTGTTTGTGTGTTTGTGTGTTTGTGTGTTTGTGTGCTGTGTCTGTTTGTGTCTGTGTCTGTGTGCAATGTCTGCGCGCGCGTGTGTGTGTGGGTGCGCGCGCGCGCGCCCGTGCGTGCGTGCGTGCGTGCGTGCGCGCGTGCGTGCAAGCGTGCGTGCAAGCGTGCGTACGCGCGCGTTGCGTGCTCGTGTGCGTGTGTGTGTGTGTGCGTAGTTGGATCCTGGAAATGGTTGTCTTTATGCGAGCAATGACAAAAGAAGCTGCGTGTGTCAAAACTAGAGCCATTTCCTGGATGCACACCTTGGCAAAACCCCAGTTGCTTAATTTGAAGCCACACCCATATCATGATTCTTCACTTCTTCTTCACTCAGAGCCTGTTTCCTGAGCCATGGACCATTGACCAGGGTGTCTGCATTTAAGAGGCATCAATTCTGGGCAAGACGTACCAGTGCACGCTGATTCAGGCAAATCTCTTACAAATCCTTCCCAAAGCCCAGAAATAGGCCTAATGACATCCTTTTTTGGCCGAAGGGCCAGGCAGATCAACAGAATCTCGACGGTTGAAAGACGTGCCACTGAATCTTCAGCCTCTACAAAGGGCCAGGGATCCTGGTGAAAAAATGGGCTGAGCCTGGCCAAATGCTTCAGCGGCTCCCCAAGCGGCTCCTGGACGAAAAACTCCGCCTTCCCTAGCCTTGGCGCAGTGCCGTGAGGCGATGAGGCGATCAGCTGCGTGTACCACTCGAATCGGACCATTGGCGAAAGAAACAATGTCCGTTTGCTGTGGCCAATCAATGCCCAATCAGCATGTCCAATACCGGGAAGATCCGGGAAGACCAGCCCAAAAGCAGACACCCTCACGCACATGTACTCATATGTTGAGTTTGGCGTTTCAACCCTTAGGAGTCACCTCGGGCAGCCATAAAATCGTGCTATGACAGCCTTTGTTAGCACGTTATTGCGCTGTCACCTTCAGCTACAGTACCGTGCCAAGACGTATCAAGTAAGGTCCAACTTCAACTATACTTGGACATGTCATCTTCCAAAACTGTGCTAGGTTGATCCCAAAATGGGCTGTTGCGACTGGTGCGATGGGCTGCTTGGGATGCTCTTTCGCTAGTGCCGATCATGGATATCCACACGAAGACTGTGGACAGGTTTGCAGAAGGTGGCAATTGGAGGCTATATGAACGGTTGTACCAGCGTGAAACCAACTATTCTTAAACTCCCCACCAAAGGGATGCTGGAAAAATCCCATCCTAGAGCGCATGGTATGCGAATGTGGGAGAGTATCAAAGTCAGGGGCTACTCTGTTTGTTACCCCTGCGGAGCCCCCAAGCCAAAGAAGAAGAACAAACAAACGTATGGTTGTTCCGTGATCCCAATGCAGCAAGCAAACAATTCCAATTCGTGTAAATTAGTTGAGCTTGTGCTGCCAATGATCAGCCCCTTGTGATACACTCACACACTCACACACACACAAGCAGCTGGCTTTCTTTTCCCTGTTTAGCTGGCCTTGCAGAAACGCAGCTGTGTGGCTTTTTGCAAGCATATCTAGGGCTCGTTATGTTGCAGCCACACGCCGACACGCAGCGTTTTAGGTTTTGAATCCATCCTTTGTCTCATACCGTGCTTCCAGTAGCAGAATCATCATGCTACTGGAAGCACGGTATGAGACAAAGGCCAAGCAACCGTGCACATGCACACCGAACGCAGTAGTGAACGCAGTAGTGAACGCATTGGTGAAAGGTCTGTTGAACGTATGCTAAGGTTCTTGTTGTGTCGTACGATTGCACATGGGCCATACCCTATTTCCTGCTCTAACAAATCATTGCTGCGAGCGACTAAATGCTTGCACAAACAAATTCAAGTGCTTCTACAATGTTAAGTTTGAACGGAAACAAACAAACAAGGTGAACTCTGAATGGTTGCTGCACATGAAATTTGAACGGACGCTTGAACATGAAATCAACATTTTCTACAACCCCAACGTGGGCGGGTGCATTGGGCAGAGGCAGACGAGTCTCCGTGTTTGCAAGCACTACGAAAGCAGTCAATGAACAAAGATCAATTGTTCTTTGCGGTACCAGCCCTGACTTTGCTTGTCAATCTCACTTCTGTATTAGCCAATATGGAACTGATTTTCATATTTGGGTATGGGGTTCCATTTTGGGGTTACCCTATTTTTGACCCACTCCCATGTCCTGTCACTCCTTACTTGCGCGTCAGAAATCTTAGATCCCGATGAATCCTGCTGCACTTTTGTGGAGCACTTGCATCCAAGGCTCAAATTTGCGCGGCTGAGGCTCGTGGCTGAACCTCAGCCGCCACGCAGCGCCCAAGACCAAAATCGCCCTACGGTCGTGTCCTGGACTTGGAGCCCCAAGATGATGGCCTTTGGGTTTCCCTTTAAACCACCCAGGAGTAAAAAAGAAGAGAAGAACTGGGTTTCCCTTTGAACCACCCAGGACAAAGAGAAGAAATGTCAAGAGACGGCAAGGTGACGTCCCGTGGGACGCTGTGCACCGAACCCTCCAGCTGTAATACCAACCACGTAGAAAGGTGTATACGGTCAAAGCCGTTATAGCCGAACCCGTGTAAACGTTGTAAGGGAGAAGGAATAATAGTTACCTCGAACCCGCGAAGACGCAGTGGGGCTCTTTTTCTCTTGATCAACAAAAGGCTTCATGTGCACAAAGTGAAAAGAGCGACGTGCTCCCCTCACAGGCTCGCCTGGGATTTTGTCGCTCCCAGGGGCCATCTCCAAAATGGAAAATCCTCGGCCACAGCCCAAGCCTTTGTTCACTCATCTCATCGACGGATCCGAGGTGATGCCGTTCATGCAAAAGCGGCAAGGGCGTAGTGGAAGCCCTCGGATCGTGGTCGAGTGCTCGTCCATGGGGATGCAGTTGTTCGCCGCGTGGAGATAGCCATCAGAGCCCCTCCACGCGGTCCCATTCCTTCCCCTTTGCTGATGCGCTCCCAGCCAGCAGTTCGGGCAAGAGAGCATTTCGCGCAACCGCACCTCGCAATCTCCAGCAATCCCGAGTCCAGTGATAGCGCTCCCCGAAGGACGTGACGTGGTAGAGCTCCACCATAGCCCCCCGCCGTGCCTCCGGTTCCGGTTCACCACCTCGTTCAACTTCTTCACGCAGCTGCCTCAGCTCCCGCTGCAGTGGGTGTTGACCTCGCCTGCGAAGGCCATCAGCAGATGATGACGCCGATTCCGTGGCCGTGCTAGGCGAGCGACGCTCAAACGTCATCACCTCCTCCTCAGCTCCAGAGCTTTCACGCACGCTCAACTCGCGCTGTTGCTGTTCCAGCCGGCGCTCCAAACGCTCCTCCTCTTCTCTCTCCTCCTGCAACCTCCTGACTCGCTCAAGCCGGAAGGTCCGGTTGACCTCTTCCCGAAGCCTCCGTTTCATGTCCTCCTCCGTCTCCACGGCCTCAGTCTGCACTTCTCGCACTTCCGGGCCTGCAGGTTCCGGCAGCCGATTCCTCTGCCCCAAGATCGCCCGCACGGTCGATTCCACGACCCTGTAGCACATGATGGCAATGAAGGACACCACCACCACGAAGATCACGAGCTCATAGCCGCCTTCACCTTCTCGACGTCCATCCTGGGCTTCTGTCTGCACCAACTGCGTGCAGAGGATCAAGCCTCCAAGGCCCATTCCTCCACTCGTAGTAGGCGTAGTCGGCCAGGATCTCATAGAGTTCCGCCTCAATCTCACCGACGAGGTCTGCATGGGCGTTACACCCTGATCCCACTCCTCCAATTCACCTTCATCACTTTCCGAGAGGGTCCACGAAGCCACCATAGAGCTCCTGCACGGCGAAGATGCCATAGAGCCCGAATCCGAAGTAGCCCCTAGATCCCTGACCTCATCACACGTGGCCAGGACACTCTGGTCCCCCTCCCAGACCGTAGGACTCTGCTCCTCGTCCTCGACGTCCAAGCGCTCTTCCAAAGACAAGCGCCCTGAACGCCAAACCTCTCCATCCGCGATCGGGTCAAGCATCTCCTGACCACTCCACTCCTCATCCCACGGCAAACGCCTTTCCTTCGGCGCCAATGCCCTGACCTTGACGGCCTTCATCTCTTCCAGAGCACCTCCACGATGCCCTTCTTGATGCGGCTCATCGCCTGCCAGCAGCAGTCTGGCCTTGTCCAGGCCGATCTCATTGACCTTCTGGGCCAGCGCCGCCACACCTCCAATCAACACCAGTTGGCCCACAGCCTTCATCTGCCTGACTTGTGGAGAAAGACCACCACTCGCCATCAGCAGGCCACCGGCAACAACCGCCAAGAGGCATTTGACCATGGCCTCCTTCTGCTCCTCTTCGTCCTCACGCTCCACGACCTTGGGGACAGACTTCAAGCCCACACCCTCGCAGAACCGTTCCAAAGCCGCCACAGGCAAGCACTTCGTGAGCGCATCTGCCCACAATCTCGTACCCACCCGGTGTGTGAGGCTGAACTCGCCCTCCCTGATGGCCTCCGCCAAGCAGTTTGCTCTGATGCGCAAATGACGGGTGCGCCAACCTCCTCCCTGGCCTCCGGCCAAGATCAGCGCCGCGCGGTTGTCATTGTAGATCTCCATGCTGATCGGGACCTCGAAGAGCTCCAGCAGCGCCCTCACTGAGCGACCCGCTTGCGCCCCTTCCATAATCGCCGTCAGCTCCGCCTCCGCCGTAGATAGAGCAGCTTCTTCGACTCCCACTGCACTGGGCAGCCCGCGAAGAGCAGCATGATGCCTGTGACGCTGTGCTGCTCCTCCACCCCAAACGAAGCATCCACCAGCACCTCCAAAGTGCCAGCCTCCCGGGGTGTCCGCCGGAACATAGTCGGATCTGCATCGACTGGCACCTCCTTGGTGTAGACCAGCTTCTTCTCCCACGACGTGCTCAGGTAGGCGAGAACGTTGGCTCCGAGCTCCAGTACCCACTCCGGGTTCCTCGTCGCCCTCGACGACATCCTCTGAACCGCCGCTGCAAGATCCGGTCTGGTCTTCCCTGAGAGCCACAACAGCTCTCCAGTGAGCCGTTGGGCCTCCCGCACCGTCCGCAAAGCTGGGGCAGGGTCCTCCTTTTCCTCCGGGACCTTGATGTGCGTAGCTCGCGCCACCACCCCATTCCTCTGCAACAACTCCTGCGCGTAGCAGTGCTGGTGGACCTCAATGTCCCCCTTCTCTGACTTCTGGATCTCCATGCCCAGGAACTTCATAGCGGGGCCTCCGGCCTCCACATACTCCGGCGGGCTAGCCGGCCAGGTCGCATCCAAGACCTGAGCAAGCTTCTCCGCGGTGCTCCTCTCCGCCACCACCAGCAGATCATCCACATAGACCGCAAGGTAGCCCAGAGGGGGTCCCGCAACGAGTACACCGCCCTTCCCGTCTGCTTTCCACTCCTTCACGACCCAGAGGTTCGGGTCTGCCAAAGGAACCAGGCCGAGCTTCCTCTCCTCCCCCGAGATCACCTGCGTCCAGCGAAGATGCCTCAGCTGGTTGTCCCTGTGGGATGCCCAATCCCTTGGCGCCGTTGTGAGGCCGTACATCGCCCCCGTGACCACCCAAACCTCGTCGTGGTCGATCAGGCCCGCATCGTAAAGGATGCGAGGTGGCTGAACAATGATCAACTCGTCCTGCGAAGTGGGTGCCAACAGGAAGGCCGAGCGAATATCCAGAAAAAGAATGTCCCAGGACTCCAGGGCCGATTTCCTCAGGATGGCCCTCACTTGCGTAGAGTCCGCCCCTGAGGCGTAGAGCTCGTCAGCGCTCCGGTCAGCCATGTAGTTCCCGCAGCACACGATGCGTGACTTCCGCTTCCCTGCTCCCGCCTTCCGGCTAAAGACTCCCATGGCAGGGATCATCTCCACCACTTTTCCAGCTGCTTTTGCCTCAACCATCATGGCGTCGGCCTCAGCCTTGGTGACCCTCTGAATGGCCTGGTTGGAGGTGAAGTTCTCCAGCTCCCCCTTCATCGACGGAAGCCAGTCACTAAGGTTCCTCTTCACCTCCTGCAGGGAGATCATCCTGGTCTGCAAGAACACCTCCTCAGCGGCCTGCATGACCTGCTCCTCCTGCTCCTTGACCGCCTTCAGATAGGCGTCCTCCAACGTCACCCTGATCTCCGCGTTCTCAGCATCCAGCTCACGGATCAGTCCCACTACCGACTCCCCCATCTCCGTGTCCTGCTCGAGGATCTTAAACTCCTCATTCGCCAGGGCATCTCCTTGATGAAGCCGCCGTTGTAGCGCTTGCACACCCAGTGACTTGACCGCACTCTTGCCTCGGATCCTCCTCGGTGGATCTCCTAGGCCTCGAAGTGGGCCAGCTCCTGGATCTCGCTCCACCAGTTCCAGCAACTCCGGCACCGCTTCCTTCTCCTCATGCTCCTTGCATGGCACCAGATCGTCGGTGTGGAGGTACTTCTTGTCCTCGGTCTCCGCGATGTGGCCACCAGAGGTCAGGCTCATCGACACATCCGGACCTCTCAGCCAAGCGCGTTTCTTCCGGGCTCTCCAATGCCCTTGAAAGTCATCCCATGACTTAGTCTTGACCATCACCTCCATGTTGTAGGGGAGTAGCTCCGGCGTGATGTAGCCAAGTGATCGCAGCTGCTGACGGCCGCGCCGTTCTCCGACCAGCATAGGCCAATGGTCCTCATCGAGCTTCAGGGCCTTCAACAGGACCGTGACACCCCTGCGAACCATTCCCACTTCACTTTCCGCACGCCCATTAGACTTCCAGTCCCCGCCCGATGTATAGGTGCGGAGAATTCCTCTGTGGGCGCACCATCGCTTGTTGGCCTTGCTGGCCAATTCCCCGGCTCGGTCCGAGTGGATCCGCCGCACCTCCAAATTCAAGTAGTTGAGGCGCGCCACCATGCGAGCCATGGCCAGTGTGATGGCCTCTCCATTTCTTGACGAAAGAACCTCCACGAGGGTGTAGTTCCGCACTTCCACCTCTTCCGGCTCTACCATCTCCTCCCATTTCTCCATGTCTCCTGGATCACCCTCAACGTGCCCAGGAAGATCATCTCCCCCCTCCTCCACCTCCGGTAGAAGAGGACCTTCCAGATCGCCTTCCTCCACGGCAACCTTCTCCTTCGCAAGGATCTCCCCCAACCCGGGCACCAAAGGAACCAGCTCTCTGCTTTTCCTGGCGACGGGGATCGTGAAGACTCCCACCATCATGTAGCGGCTCTTTGCCTCCTCCATATCCTTCCCAGGGCGGAATGGCCCGCACAAATCCAGGGAAAGCGTAAACGTGTCCGGCGCAGGAATGCGCTTGTGGGGCCGTGAACGACCAGCACCC